AGGGACGATAGTATGCTCGAACTGCGGAGGTCAATACGCGGCTAGTGACTGCACTTCTCAAGAAATGAAATGTATCATTTGTCAAAACTACAACCCCACAAGCCCACAGAACATTCTGTATTTGACCGAAACTGCCCGTCGTACTTGACAGAAATACAGAAATTGGCATCTAATACCAACTACAACATCCCTCTACAGTGAGTAATTAATAACCACAATATATACATATTTCAAAATATTATTGAGGACTGTAAACAATTAATTTTTAAGGATGGTACACAGACAATTAAACATGTTACAACTCAACATACATCATTCAAAATGCACATTGAACATGCTACAACAGTACATAAACATGAAACAAATAGATGTTTTATTAATCCAAGAACCTTATACAAGATTAAATAAAAATTGTAGGTTATAATCAGTCAAGGGTTTTTCAAACAAAAGGAAGCAATCCCAGGGCTGGAGTCGTTGTGACCAATAAAAACATTGATGCCTGCATGATATTACAACATTCTGATTGTGATTTTGTTAGCATAGAAATATCATACAGTGAATTAAAATGTATAATAATATGTGCTTATTTTGATATCACCCGAAATATAAATTTGGATTTACAAAAAATAGAACGCGTTCTGGATCATTTCAAAGATTCTAATATCATTATTGGATTGGACTCCAATGCAAGATCTAAATATTGGTTCGACAAACAAACTAACGAAAGGGGTAAAAATATGGAAACTTTTATTGTTGAGAAAGATTTGTTCTTAATGAATATAAATTCCGAACTAATGACTTTCCAAGGGCCGCGAGGCAGTAGTAATATTGATTTAACATTATCTAATACAAAACTGATTAGACATAATCTTGTAAAAAATTGGACAATTTCTAGAGAAACAAATTTTTCGGACCACATTTTGACTTATGAGTTACATTTACAGGGAAATGATAAAACTGGAGTGCTAGCAAAAAACTATATATATTTGACAGAGAATGGTGACTGGAATAAATTCTTGACTAACTTAATACATCAGTTAGAAAAACAGTTTTTATCTCAACATTGTACTGATAAGAAGGAATTGACAGTTTATGAGACCGAAAAGCTGATTCTTAATGAGTTTTCTCTTATGCCTACTGATATTATCATAAATAAAATGATAAAATCTTGCAATATAGCATTCAAAAGATCCGGCCATTTCAAAGGTCGAACTAGAAAAAGATCAGTTCCTTGGTGGAACCCTGAACTAACTGGCTTGCGTAAAGAGACAAATCATCTAAGAAGAAATTACCAGCGGACAAATCAAGGAGAGGGATCTATCTCAAAAGTAGGCAAGCATATCAAAAGCTAATTAAAAGTTCCAAATTAAAGTCCTGGAAGACATTTGCTACTGTTTCAAAGGCATGGCAATGGCCATATAAGTTTGTATCCAATAAAATAAAACCTCAAACCTTACTCACTACCACTTTGAATGAACTATGAACATACACAACAGACACTAAGAATACATTATCTCATATATTAAATAAGATAATCAAAGATGACAATAAAAGTGATGACACTAACAAACACAGACAAATGAGAACAGAAATACTTATCCCGCCTAATAATGACGATGACACTAATATCCGGGATTTTGAAATATTACAAGTTATTAATAAATTGGATGACAAGAAAGCACCAGGAATAGACAAAATTGACTCAAGAATGATAAAAAAGATAGCTGACTCCTTTCCAAAATTGATAACTGGACTTTATAAAACCTTATTCAAAAGAAATGAATTTCCTAAAAGCTGGAAGGTGGGTAAATTAACATTGATTCCTAAGGCTAATTCATTTTCACTGAGACCACTAAGTATGCTTCCTGCAATGAGCAGAATTTTTGAAAAAATAATAAAAAATAGATTAATGCATCATCTACTTAGTAACAATATACTCCACCGACACCAACTTGGATTCAGAACCCAATCAGGAACTGACGATGCTCTCAGTGAATTGAACGACCATATCACCAGTAAACTCCGGCAAAATAGTAATTTACTGGTTGTTTCTTTGGATATTGTGGATGCCTTTGACAACGCCTGGTGGCCTGCGATCTTAAATAATCTAAAGAAATATAAATGTCCAAAAAACAAATACAAAATCATTCAAAATTATTTTTCTGACAGAAAACTTGCAATCCAAACAAACTTTCATTATATTGATAAGAAATTGATGCTAGGACCTCCTAAAGGATCTGCACTATCACCTATACTATGGAACATCTTAATAAATACTGTTTTCGAAATAGATCTACAGGAAAATTCAACATTATTAGCATACGCAGACGATTTATTATTACTCATAAAACAAGAGATTTCGATGAATTACAGACAATAGCAAACATAACATTATCAAGGCTGAGACAATGGACTAGACGCAACAAACTTAAATTTAATCTGGACAAGACAAAATATATAATCTTCACAAAAAAGAGAATTGTACCAGAATTGGATATTCGACTCAATACAGTAAGAATAACGCAATGTGACACATTATCATATTTGGGGCTTCTCTTTGACAGAAAACTGAATTGGAACAGACATATAGATAATCTATATGACAACACTTTAAGGATTATAAATGGACTGTCAGTGGTTGCAAGAGCGACATGGGGACTCAGATCGGAAGTGTTAAAGGAAATTTATGAAGCTGCTGTACTTCCTAAGATGCTCTGCATGTCTGGCATCCGGCTGTTGAACGTAAGAAAAATTTGGTGAAGTTGGAAAGGCTTCAGAGGTTAATTGCAATTAAGATATGTAAGGGCTATCGTACACTATCATTCGAGGCCACAATATTATTGGCAGGGCTGTTGCCAATCCAAATGAAGATTGAAGAACGAACAACCTTATATAACATTAGAAAAGGAAAGAGAGGATACAAAGACCTGACCCTGGACAAAGTAGAAAGAATCACTGACTGTAAATCTCGGTTACACCCTGTAACAAGTTTATGGACTGGAACAGAAATTACTTCTGAAAATACTGATGTTTTCACTGATGGTAGTAAGGACAGCAAGAATGTTGGATGTGCATGGTTGTTCAGAGCTCAAGATGGTAGAAATATAGAACATCAATATAAATTAGAATCATATTGCTCAAATAATCAGGCAGAAAAATTCGCTGTTTTAAAGGTGACTGAATACATATATGACTACCCTCTACAAACGAACACTCACGTTACTATAAATACAGACAACAAAGTTCTACTAGACTCTGTTAATAATTGGGACATTCATGATTACTTGAGTGACCAAATTAGAAACAAATTGTTAATGATGAGAACTGTAGGGAAAGTAGTGACTCTAAAATGGGTAAAAGCACATTGTGGGATTGAGGGCAATGAACGAGTCGATTGCCTTGCAAAAGAAGCAGCTAAAAGCGATTTGCCGCCATCGTATCATCAAGCTCCTTTATCGTATATTAAGATGAATTTAAAGTTGGATTTCATCAAAAGATGGGATCACATATGGGTGACCTCAGCTAAGTCACCAAGCTTACACAGATTTATACCACACATTTCAATTCACAATTACAGACACATTAACAGTAATGACTACAAACTTACGCAAGTACTTACGGAACATGGGAATACAAAACAATATCTTAAAAGATTCAACATTATACAAACAGACTTATGCGATGAAGACGGACAGGTTCAAAATTTTAAACATATAATATATGAATGTAAACGATTTGACAGACAGCGATTTGAGTTAATAAAAAGCATAGTTATCAAAAGTGGAAATTGGCCTGAGACGGAACAAAAGTTATTTACTGAATTCAAGACAGACTTTGTTAGATTTATTGGATCGATCGACTTCGACTTACTAACCAGGGATGGGCAGCGTGGGTGATTTCTTGTTGGCTTTGTTGGATTGACTTTGTGTGTTTAATATTTAATTTTCCGATTTAATTTTTGTGTGTTTATTCTTTGTATTTTTGTTTGTTAATGTATATAAATTTGAACTAAAAATGTATATCATGTGAAACTAGAAAAAAAAAAACAATTGTAAACAAATGTAATTCATGTAGTATGTCTTTAAGGCATGGAACATGAAGGAAAATCAAATAAATGATCCTTGTGTGGGGTTACCACGTAGGGAAAAAAAAAAAAAAAAAAAAAAAAAATATATATATATATATATATATATATATATATATATATAAGGAAGTTGTCAGCAAAAGGGAAAGGAATATAACTATGGATGTTTTAATAAATTCAGAATTTGGGAGTAGGCTAAAGAAAAGTTCTGTTTGTCAGTTTTTAGATTCACTGTAGCATTTCGGTTATCTAATTCTTATTGTAGTAAATGTTCAAAAATAACACCAATGACTTCTAAAAATTTTCAGCTTTTTCGTCGAATGGTAACATTTGCATTTCTGCTCCAGGTGTCATTTCTTCCTTTAGTGCCAACTGCAACAGAAGGGCAACTGTCCCCTTCAAAGACGAAGTTGAAAATGTTTAGAAGTCAGTGGAGGTAAGTATTTTTGAACATTTATTAAAATAAGACTTAGATAACTGAAATGTTAATATTTGTATGAAATATTATTTATTTGTGATATTTTGTTCATTTGTAATTAGCCAATAAAATTTAGACAAATGAAAATTAGACAACATTATATGAGGTTTTTTTACTATTATTTTCCTGTGTGCAACCCACTCCTGGAGTTTGGCCCATTCCTCCCGACACAAACTGTATATATTTTTAAAAAATAGGGTAATAATTAAAATCAAGTTTCAATATTGTAACCATAATAAATGAAAACGATAACACATATTTTCCCGTAAATCCTTTCCATTATGCCTGAAATATTCATATAAGAACACTATTTTGAAAATGTGAACCATTTCCATTTGCTGCACATTCCTTAAAATTTATCTTAACAACCTTTTAGGTGCTTATAGCATATAGATGTAGCCAGGCCTAAAAGCAATGGTAATCAAAAAAGAGCTTGACCTGCAGTTGAGTTTTCATCCCTGCTACTGAATCTTCTCAGGAGTTCTTCAGGTGCTTGTAATATGGAAGAAAATCTTCTCTGTTGAGTGGGCCTCCTCCTGACAGGTTCATTATCCCTCGCAGTCGTCGGCCTGTGGCTGCTGCTACTGGGCACAGGATCGCTGCTCCTTCCAGAGCGCCTTTCTCTGCTACCAAGTTCTCGGCTATGGGCAATTAAACGAGCATTAACTATTACTAAATTTCAAGCAAAACAACAATTTCTTAATAATAAGTTTAAGATGTAGGTACTTATATGAATTTTTAAATTTTATTTATTGTTGAAGATTGTTATAACAATAAAACCACAAAAAGTCTTAAAAATTTTCCTCCAAAGCTAGTATACCTCACATTCATGAATATTTTTGATGGGATGTCATCCAATTCTCAACAGACACAGGGCTACAATGACATGTATAAGATGAATAGCTTGTCTGGTTTTTAATATGGAATCAAAAGAAGAATAGTAGCTACAAACTAGTGCTATTTTGCACTACAGAAACATCTCTAAAACAACCTTATATTGAAGCCCTCAAAAATTTGGATTTATAAAGCTCTTATCTGACCTATACAGACTTATGGCTCTGAAACATGGACCCTCACTAAATCTCAAGAAGCTTCATTACTACGTTTTGAAAGAAAAGTTCTGAGAAGAATTTACAGATCATTTTATCAGAATGATGTAAGAAGGAAAAGGATAACGTTGAGCTGAAAGCAATGTACAAGGAGGTTGATATGATCCAGCACATCAAACTAAGATTAGGCTGAACTGGACATGTGAGGAAGAGATTCCTGCCAAAGTGTTCCGGGAGCAAATGTTCGGAATTCGTCACACTTGTAGACCATGGCTTCGTAAAGGGGAATGCATTGCTTTGAAGCCCGAGCTATACTTGATGTCTGTAATTGGAAGACAGCAGCACTCGATAGAGATGTTGAAGCATGTCAAGACTAAGTGGATCGTAAAGTCAATAGAAGAAGAAAATTTGCAAAGCTAAATAGCAGTAAAGAAAAGTGGTAGGGACAGAGCTATACCATGAGAGAGTAGACATGGCATGCCCTACCTCATAATATTGGATATCTCATACTTATTAATTTAGAATAGCGTTTCCAGCTTCAAAACTTCAACTTACGAAATATCTTTCAATTTTTTTTTTCACTCTGTGATCTTTGAACAAAAATATTTAGTTTGAAATGTATTACATTCTTCTTATCTGGCATCAAAACCACTTGATGAGTCAAAGACTGCTTCAACAAGGATTGCCAGTCCTCTCTGTTGCATGCAACTACCTTCCAATTCCTCAAATCAAGCACTTTTCTAGAGTTTCTTGTTTGATATTTCCCTAATTCACAATCCATACAGGGAAGAAATCTTTTAAATAGAATAAGAGACAGGATTTGTATCTGGATGAAAGGAGGGATATGATCCTATAGTTATTACATGTTAATACGTCACCTTTCTTGTGTATATTTTTTTTTAAACTGACTAGGTAGTTAGGTAGTTTCTCTTCTCTATATATGTCCATCAGAATTTCATGCGGAGACCTTAACATTTCAAGTCCACTATTCTTTAACATTATGTCAATGTTGAGCTAATAGATTTAGGTTTGACAGGATTCCTCAGAAGGAAGTTCTGTTACTATTACTGGTGGGGGAATGTATGAGGAATAAATATTTACTGACCTGGTGGGAATCAATCCCACAACGTTCACAACCGAGTATTCTAGAATCCAAGCTACAATGAGCAGGGCCATCACATCTTCTAGGAAGGAATTATTAAAGCAGAGATTTTTTGTGTTACCAGTATCAAACATTCAAGTTTTTCAAAACCTTATAATCATTATTAGTAAACAATAAAATTTTAATAACTTAGGATATTATTATTAAAAAAGTTAACAAGTAACATTGACTAGGTTAGTTACCTTGAAATATCCAATTGGGTGAGCAAAAGATCAGTAAGATTCAAAGCTAACTCAAGTAAGCTGATCAAATCTGTTTGGAAAAAGATAAAATAAATAAACCTTTTTAAAAATTTATAATTAAAATTTAATAGCAATAATAAAAAAATACCAACTCGAAATTCTTTCCTGAAGGGTTTCATTTGAAACAGAACGAGTAAATGTGTCATTTTCAAAAAACTGAGTCAAGCTGTCCACCATCAGTAACAACACATGCCTGTAAATAATATTAAACATTTTAAAAACCATAACGATACAAAAAGTAATTTAAATTCATAACTATATACCTAGCCCTATGCCGTATGGCATCTCTCTGGCTAGCTTCTCTCGCTGCTGAGAGACCTGGCCTACATCTTGCTGATCTGAAATATATTAGACAAAATATTATGAATCTACTTCTAAGCATAGCATAAAACAAACAATTGTTTAAACATAATTTACTATCTGACAAAGCTAGTGGAAAATTGTTATACAAAAATAGTAATAGAAGAAATGTAAATAAGTTTTTCTTTTTTTTTTTAGATGGCTAAGATAAATAAAACATTAACAAAGATAATGTAAGAGAATTCCTACAAAATATACTTACGAAGATTCTTCAGGCATTTCTCTTGAATTAGAGAATTCACGAGGTGGCCAAACTAAAATCAGAATTAAAAGTAATTTGACCATAAAATATTTCTTGGAATAGATCTTTAAATTTTATGAAATTTATTCCTACCAACCTTTTTCCCTGAAGGGATTATGCCATGGTCTGAAGGACAATGGTGGCCTAAATCTAGGTCTTCCGGAAATGCGATACCTGACACTTATTCGTGTAGTTGTTCTTGGGGTCTTGAACAAAAAAATATATGCATATAATTTCATCAAACACTAAAGTAAATTAATATTTGATAATCATTAATAAAATAATTTTACTTCCTCTTCTAGCAATAATCTTATTAGAAATAACATAATTAAATACTAGTAAAACTGTATACTTGAATGAAAAAAAAATCATGTAAATTTGAGCTGCAGCAGAATATAAGTGATAAAGAATCTAAATAAGATTGAGATCATACTTCTTAAATATTAAAATATGGTTCATATTCATGTATATTAAAGTGTGAGGTTTTAAATGATGTGAGATCCCTGAATGTTTTGGAACAATTTGAGCTAAAAATACTGACCTGTGATTGAATAAAATGTGTTTAATCAATTTGCTAAAAGTTATATAACCATTTATTGAGTGAACAGATGGATCGATTTCTAAGTTTGATATCTTAAACTATTCGGTGAGGTTCTGCGGTTGTTTTGAAATTGAAATGACACAAGGGTCATGTGTTCGGAGGGTCTGCTAAAAAGTGTGAAAAAACACAAGTTTTGAATGAACAGCCAGGTCGATTTTTAAGTTTGATATCTTAAATATCAATTCCTTTTTATATCCAAATTAAAATTGCTTCCAAAGGGAGAGGCTTTTGTCAAATCTATCGATGTCAATAAAGCTTATTATTATTATATCTTAAATTATTTGGTGAGATCCCTTGAGTGTTTTGAAACAATTTGAGCTAAAAAAAAAAAAAAAAAAATGACACGTGACTGCAGAGTCTGGCATATTACTATGTAAAAGGTGTTTAATTAATCCACCATAACAAGTACTAGGACAATTTTTAGCTTTGATTGCTGTAATTACTTAGTGAGATCGCATGAATTTTTTTAAACAATTTGAGTACAAAATACTGAAAAAAAAAAAAATTATTTTAGTATCTTGATTATTAATTTATTTGAAATGATATCATGTGACCATGTGTTATGAAACTACATTGTTAATATTTCAAAAACTAAAAATGTTAAAATAAAGATATGTTTAAATTAAAAAAAAACAGACAGAAATTGGGAAATATTATTCACCTTAACAGAATGTATTTCCATTTCTACTTAACCATCTTCTTAGATTGATAGGGAAATTTACATGAACAAATATTTAAATTTAGTGTAGTAGTCAGGTGCTTACCAATCCTGAAATAAACTCTAGACTCGAATGTTGACATACACCATCACCATCAGGGTGAATCTATCTCCTTGAAATCGTAATAAAAATACATATATATCAACTTCCTTATCAATCTACCAAGATGTTTAAGTAGAAATTCCCTTAGGATGTATAGAATTCCCAATTTCCGTAGTCGGATTTTTTTTTTTTTCAATTTAATTTTTAACTTACATCATTGCTAGTAGACGGTGACTGATCACACATTGACTTCCGCTTCACGCCATGCGGAGTATCTGCATCAGAGCTTTCACTTTGTCTCGATGAAGCGTTTCCATCATCATTATCATCACTGTCATCATCTACACTAGTACCCTAAAAATAACAGAAATATTTTTAAAAAATAAATAAATATCTCCAAATAAAGAAAGATCTCCTTTCCATGCCTCTTGACTTTAATTTTGTACAGCACCAAATTTCTTAACTTTAGAACCATTTCTATGGCTTTGGGAATTAATGAAATTACCAATGAATTATTCTCAAATATTCTGTCATTTCTTCTTGCACAAATCTCTAATCGATTACGCACTCGGGTATCTTTTAAGTAAAATGGTAAAATTAATGGAATATGGTCTCCTTCCCATATATCTCAGCAAGTTCAGTAGCTTTTTACTTCAAATGGAAGCAGATAAGTGATGCTTTCTGTAAATTTGGTTTTGATAGAACAAAAGTAAAAATATTTAGAATTAAAAAAAGAAAACAAATTGACAAAATTACAAATAAAGTCAATAAGATACTTTAACTTGAAGGCGGCTAGTAGATTATGGTTAGGTTCAATTAAATATTAGTAAAAACCCTCTCTAGTAAAGCCTGTAACTAACATGTCAAAACTGAAATATACTTCCTACAATATTGACATAACGCAGATCATAGGCTCTCACTACCAAGACAACTCTAGTCGTTAGGGGTGGTTAGGGTAACATATAAAACAGAAGGATAAAGATGAGAAGAGGGGGTATCAAAGAGACCTTAGATAATAGATGTGGAGATAAAAAGATAACCTGAATGATAAGGCAATGAGTGGAATCCGTGGTGTAGTAAAAAAAAATCAAGAAGACATAATAATAATAATAATAATAATAATAATAGAAAATAACTTTATTCTGGGACAAAGTCCCTTTAGAATAACAAAATAGAAAATAATTAAAATACTACATCTGGCCAAAATAAAACAATTATATAAAAAGATAACAGTAAAAGAAGTTCATAAAATTAAACACACCGGTTGTGGATATCTCCTAGGGAACCTGAAGTGTCTATCAAAACGAGGTCTTTTGTAGGCAGGCCTATGAAGAAACCTAAACCTCCTTGTGCCTAAGTGGCGTCTCTGAGTTGACATTAGACCTGAATCTTCACTTTCCTCATCTGTTGGTAATGAAGAAGTACTTGCAACTCCTTCTGCATCAACTTGATTTCCAGGAGAGACCCTTACAACAGGTGGCCAATCTCTAACAGCTCTATGGAGGGTGAATATTTGTGATTCTAGTTCTTGCCACATCCGCCTCATTTCTCCAGATTCAAGACGAACTCGACTGTCAACATAATAAGAAATTATATCATCAAATCATACACTCAAAAGATTCATACAAGTATTACTGTAATTAAAGAGCAAACAATTTGGATTATACTGTGAAATTTCAAAAATGACTTAGTTATTTTATAATTTTTTTTATTCTTATGGCTCATGGTCAAATTACTAGAATGATAATTATTAAAGGAATAATTTCACTATATCTTCATACAATTAGTCAATTACTCTTTAAAACCCCGAAAGATCAAAAAATGAGACTTCCTTTAATTTTTTTTTTTTTTTTTTTTGTTTTCATTCCACTAATAATTAATAGCACAAAAGTCTTAAAATGAATAAATTACAATAAGAATAAATAACAAATATTAACGTCAGAAAAAAAAGCATTTTCATATTGTGTAGGCTTTACCTGTTGTTTAGGCAACTTTCTAATTTAATAAAAAAAGACAAATAATTCTAATGAGTTCAACATAAGAAAAATTCGACATTATTTTGGCAGTAATATTGTGCTGAATTTTTATAGAATGTGAAAGCAGCGGTTCGGTGGCCTCTTGTATACAAATATGAAGACCGGGAATGGGTTTTGCGGGAGTGGACGGAGGACTTGAATTGAAGGAGCTCAGAAATGTATGAATGATGGCGGGGTTGGGTGACTTGGAAAAGGAAGGATGCTAGGAAAGAATTACGTCGGTAGGAAGGATAAAGCCATTTCAGCTCTTCGTAATAATGGAAAACAGAAGCGTCCCTTGGCATCCCAAAGATGAACCGTACAAGGTAATTTATCAAACGTTTTAGTTTTGCCTCGAGATCCCCGGAGGCGTCCCCACAAACAGCAATAGTCAAAGTGAAAATATTAAGGAAGTAATCAAGAGTTTACAGGTTACAAATGGAAATAGGTGGCGGAGGTAATTTAGTCATTTAATGTATCATGTACATATATTTTCACATATTTCAATAAATATTTAGGTACGATTCTCTTCAATGCCTTAATCAATGCTCCCAAACTAATAGACAAACCGAACGGAATCCTTTTATAATGAAATATTTTATTTAAGAACTGTAATCCGGTGAACAATCGACTAGATTTTTCCATCTTGACATGCCAAAAACTACTCTTGAGACCTAGTGTGACTAAGTACCTTGCATTTGAGCATCAAAACAAGAGTATATCAATACAGGGAGGTGCATCATATAATGGGATTAATCGCTTGTTTACAAATCGCCCATCTAGGCATATTCTTACTTTTGATTCAATAGTTTCTCCTGTTATTGGGTCATTTTTTCTTTAACTAAAATAATTGGATTTATGTATGGTGAGTGGGGAAATTTCAATAATATCATCAGCGAGCAATTTCAATTTTCGCTTGTTCTAGGAATTTCGGGTTCAATTTATACTGGAACTGTTTGTAGGGGGGTGGGATCTATAGCTTCTAATCTGTGTTCATAATTCTTAATAGGACCCACTTGTTCCCTAAAATGGTTTTATTTTTTTTCAATAAGTTTCTAAATTTGATAATTTGATCTATTTTTAAAATTGTGTACAACTCGAGCCAAATATCATCTATATCTCTTTCAATATTAAACTTTGCTTTTGCTTCATAATCCCCATCAACTTCCGTAACATATCCACTTTTTCTTAATTTAATTTCTTGTTGAGTTAATTTGTTTAATTTTTTGCACAATCTGTCATCTTGATTTGGTCTTATGTGGTATTGCGAATTAGGCATCTGTCTTATATCAAAAAGTATAACTGAGGTTTTCCCAGCATCATTTTTTAAATTTATAAAATTTGTTTCAAAGTTTAAAACAGCCTTATATTTCGCTAAAAAGTCAATAACTATTATGCACTCTTCTTTAATATCTGCTGCTAATAGAAAATTTGCATAAAAATAGTGATCTTCTAACTGAAGTGTCATAAAAATTTGTTTATTTATACATTTATTTATCTTCAAATAAATTGTTTAACATACAATCCGAAGAAGAAAAAAGAGAAAACTCATCTTATCTGCTATTATCAGACCTTTCTTTACTGTCTGTTCGGTCAATCGATTTATGCGTGCCTTCATAAATAAATAAATACCTGAAATGATCGAGTTTGGGATTCCAAAATAAACCCAAAACCTTGACGATCGAGGAATCTCCATCGAGGCACAACGGAACTTCTTGACTACCCTCGGGTATAACAAATAGTATTTTTTCTGAATTGTTGGAGAAGTTTCTGAGTTACTCGGGTATAACAAATAGTATTTTTTCTGAATTGTTGGAGAAGTTTCTGAGTTAAACCTACCTGTTCCAAATAAGACCATCAATTCATTACAGTTCCAGAGCCTCATCACTATTGCGAGCAACAGTAACGTAATCACGTTGTCTACATAAATTTGGTCATGACATTGGGCAGGTTTAGGAAAATTATGGCCTTCTTAATGAAATAATTGTACAATGACTCTGTGAGCAATAAAAGGAGAAAATTTCAACCCAAATGGCAGGGTAACCAACTCTGAGGCAACTTTCTAATTTAATAAAAAAAGGTAAATAACTCTCATGAGTTCAATATAGGCAACATTCGGCATTATTTTGGCAGTGGATTATATTTTTATTGAATGTGGTCCTAGATTAAGCAGCTCAACTCTTATAAGATATTTACAGAACTTACAGCAAAGCGGCGTTCAGGTACAAAATTACTTACACAAAACACCTGTATTAAACTACCAGGTTTGCCAAGCATTATTATTATACTATTGCTTCAAATTTAAAGGATAATTAAATACCTGCATTGGCGAGATAAATTATCTATATGTCTGCCTAACAGTTGTAAACCAAATCTGACACTAGCAAGATCTGGAGTGTTACCAGGCGGAGGCTGCAAGCTTGTATCGTTACTGGAGGTTGAAGGAAAGGGTCTTTGCAGAAGATTAGAAAGTCTTGTTAATAGCCTCCTCTCTGCATTTTCTGTAGCAACCCTTAAAAGCTGATAAAAAAAAAAAAAAAAAAATTATTATAAATCAGTTTTTTAAAATGGATAGTATTAAATAAATAGTTTTAACTAAGACAAACTCTACCTGCATTTAAAGCAAATTTTGTCCAGTTTACTATTAAATAATTATTAGTAAATGTTTTTTTAGTTAGTACTTCCGATTAAACCAAAAACGTGACACTAAGAAACATAAAACAAATTTGAATCATATTAAATACTTAATAGTTGACTATTGTGTATTTTAAAGGAAGGAGATGGTCCGGGGTGGTGGTAATAATTAAACTAAAATAGTGTAATTTAATCGTTCATTATTTTTAAGTATTTCCGCTTTGTATAATCTCTCTTGTATTTTTTTTTACTTTCACTTACGTATATATGTAATATATAGTAAGGGTGTATGGCGATCGTGAACATTTTCGAATCTCAGTTTTTAACGGAAATACATGTTTTGAGGTCCCCTGAGTTCAAATAACCAAGTGTCGCAAAATGGTCTGTGTGTGTGTGTTAACAGTCTAGCTCATAAACGAAAAGTAGTACGAAACTGATATTAAGTATATAAGGTTTGAATATGGGCCGGATGTGACAGCAATTTTTTCGTTAAAACCGGCTAACCGGAAGTGCCACTTTATATGAATGCTGAAACACATTTTTACAATTTTCTCAAAAACGGCTTTAACGATTTTGATCAGACTCGGTGTATCATTGTATAATTAAGTGGTCTTTAATATCATTTAGGTCTTATCCCTGTTGATGTAACTTTACAGGGCTTAAATGCCCAATGTTCATATATGTCTTCCTCTAAAGTAACTTTAATATGGTTTATTTTAAGAAGTTAACCATTTCGCATTATTCAGAGTTACGAAAAAATGATACATATAACTTTTGAAAGAATTTAATAAGTTAATAAAGGAGAAAAAAAAAATGCAGAAAAACCTGCATTGCTATAGACTGCAGCGCCTAAACGAATGTACCGATTTCAATGAAACTTCGCTAAAGTCATTTTCTTGATACCCTTTAAATTTATTTATATAACATATTTCAACGAAAAGAAGCTGGAAAAAAAGTTACGAGGGATGTTAAAATTAAATTCCGAATAACTCAAAAAGTATACTCTTTTTTGAAGATACTGTATATGGTTTTTTAGAAGTTTATGGAATTTCCTAAAAAACAAAAAAAAAATCGTTCAAATCGGACAATTAGGAGGAAAGATATGGTCTCTAGTTTTTTCTCCTGAAGAGGTGAAAATTTGGATAAATTTAAAATAATTTTTTTAATTGTTGAGACAAAAAAAAAACTTTTTTCTACAGATATTTAATAAAGTATCTTTCCTAAGAAATAAGTACCTAAATTTATACCTTTATTCTCAGTTCTATATTTCAACACTGCAATCACCACCTCTGGAATCAACTTATAATATAAAAGCAAAGAAAGTTGTGTGTTTTATAAAAGCAGATGGAGTGACTAATTTTTATTGCCTGTCGTCGATATATTAAATAGACATTTTGTAATTATAATGGTCTTAATGACTTGTTATCTGTAAGCTTTAAGCTTTAGCTCCATTTAAAATGCACTTCAAAAAATTTTATAATAGCCCATCATTGCCAGAAAATAATTTCTGGCAATTCAAAGTAGATCGGTAAGTGAAAGTTGTGTTGCGCGCACCAGATTTTTATATTTACATTCTACAATGTACAACCATCCATTGTTACTTTGTATTTATTGTACTTTTAACCATTAAGTTTCAACATTATATAATATTTAAACGTAATTTTCTTACAATATGTACAACTAATTATAATTATAATTATTCATATTTGTTTCTTCTCTATACTTCTAAATATAGTTTATTGTTCTTAATATTTCAATATACTTATTTACTATTTAATATTTCAATAAGTTTATTCACCTCATTAATAATTTTTATCTAAATATTATGTAACTTTCACAATTTTCTATATCCTATTGTATCTTGTACATTCTAGCCCTGAAGAAGACCTGTAAAGTCAGGTCAAAACGTTGGTTTGAAATAAAATAGTTTTCCAGTATTTTACTCTATTTATGACTGCCACCCCTCCTTCCTCTATAAAACAAATTTCTTTCTTTTCTGTGGAAAATTGGACATAGGTTATATGAGCTTTTTGTAGCTCTCTATGTCTACTTATTCTATTAAAATATTTACCTTTTCTTAAAGACATGTTGTAGTGTTCTGTAAGTACATATATATTGTTTATAGTAGAAGGTTTAAGAAGTAGAAATAGCTGAATTAAGATTATGTATAGGTTGTCTCATTTCATTTAATAGTACATGATCTTATCTTGAAATGAGGTTTATAAAAAATCTCCATAAAGCTGCTAAAATCTTTAAGATACATTTAAATGTTTCTACTTTTGTGAATTTCACTCACATTCATATCTTTCTCATTAAATTAGTTTTGCTCTGACTGATCGAAAATGACGATTCCATTAACAACAGACTAAAAAGAAAGGCATTTGTTTATTGGATTTTGGTTCCATTAATTTTACAAGTGAAAACATTCTAAACAATAAAATAAGCATGTTAAGAATATATATAGAAGAAGTCTTTTTATTTATCAAAATTACAAAATATTAATCACAAAAGGATATCAGTAGGCATAGGAGAATATCAGAGAGGCTTTAGGCCTGGAAAATCAACAGTTGGCGGCCAGATGTTCTCTCTGAGACAGATGATGGGAAAATGTTATGTATTTAACATAGACATGCATCTTCTCTTTGTGGACTTCAAACAGGCATACAACTGTAGACGGAAAGGAATTTTTGAAATCTATGATACATGTAGTCATACCCAGGAAACTGGCCAGACTTACAAAAATTACGCTGATGAAGACTATTTGTCGATTGAAACTTGTAAACTCGCTGTCTGAAGAATTTAAGGTGGATAATGGATTGAGACGAGGGCGATCCTTTATTATAATCCTCTCCTTTTTAATCGAGCCTGGAAGTATTCATGTAAGAGTAAATTGCAATATCATCTATTCGAACAAATCCAGAAGGAACAATCTACAATTGTCAGTCTCAACATCTGGCATATGCCGATGATGCTGCCATTATTTCTAGAACCCAAGCAGCATTATCAGGAACTTTGCAAGAATTCGAAGAGGCAGAGGTTAAACTGGGTCTTAGAGTTAATGGCAATAGGACAGTGTAGATGAAAAGTTCAAAAATTGAAAAGGAAGTGAATACAGAAATAGCTTTAAGTGATCACAATTTTAGGTCTGTTGACCACTTCAAGTACCTTGGAAGCCTGGTCGCATGCAATAATAAAATAGAGAGTGAAATAAAGACCAGGATAGCAGCAGGAAATAGGAAGGTGCTATTTCTCACTGCAAAGAGACTTGAAATTCAGATCACTCTTTAAAAGAATCAAAATCCTCATCAACAAAACCATAGTAAGGCCAGTGGTTATGTATAGGTGTGAGACTTGGACCTTAACCAAAAACTCAGAACACACGCTCAACTCCTGGGAGAGAAAAGTGTTGAGAATGATATGGGACGGAATCGTTGAGAATGGAATTTTGAGAAGAAAGAATGAAGAGCTGCGGGAACTTTATGGAGAACCTGATATTGTGGCATTGATAAAAAGAGTAAGAATCAGATGGTTAGGCCATGAGGAAAGAATGCCAAAGAAGATGCTGCATGAGAAGCCGGATGGCAAAAGAAATGGAGGACGTCCTAGGATCAGATGGAGGGAAGTAGCACAAGACCGTGGAGATTGGTTGACAGTAGTGGAGGAGGTCCGGGTTCTTGCAGGACCGTAAATTAAAAAAACAAAACAAAAATAATATTTTTGGATTCCAACTGAAAATCATACGCACATGGTCTGTTACCATCTGATGTTGAGAATACACACACGTTGAAGGTAGAGTTGTTTATACTTTTGATTTTTATAATCAAAATAGGCAATTCTTGAATGTACAATTCTACCGTATTTTTGTGTTTGTGGATATTCAAACCTCAAAAATGAAAAGCCGATGAATGTTGTGGAATACTATAATTCCAATAACAATAAGAGTAATATTAATGCAGAGAACCAAGCGTCTGTTATGAAGACCAGAAACAGCTAAAACATGGGGATGTTTTTTGTATACATTATTTATTTATTTTTAGTTTTCTGATTAAAAATAAACTTGGTAAAAACTTTAGTTTTTAGGTTTTTTAATTTTTTTTTTCCATCTTATAAATAAATAGTTAAATAACAATAATTTATTTTGATTTATATAATTCCTTAAAAACGAAACTTCAACAAATGCCTTACATCCAAAATATTAAATAAGTTGTAATTACGTGTGGTTCTCTATCACGGGTGTTATATCCGCTCTGAAGTCTCCTGAACTGAGCTCTTAGCCTCGCAATAGCAGAAGAACTTTCACATGGTCTTCTTAGTCGATCTGTAACATGAAAAGTAAAACTAAATTAAAATTATTTAACAAGAAATACTAGAAACATATAAATAGTTTAATAATGATCAAAATCTAATTCTATTACAGATAAATAACAAAAAAGGGCAGCTAAATATATATAAAAAATAAGTGTAAAAGTGTGGGCAATGAAGGAACAATTTAATCTCAAAAACGCTAATTTTGGAGATAAATTATAAGATTGCTATATAAATGTACTTATCTTATATTATTATAAGTTATTTATTATTTTTTATAAGTAAAATCCTCCAAAACCTGACTACCTGAAACTATTATAAAAGTTACTTTTGTGAATATTATATATTATTCTCGGTACCAACTCAACTGATAGATTTTGCCATCTGATTAGATCTAATTATTATTAAATTTATTTAAGGGTAAAAAAAAAAAAAAATACTTAAGAGTTCTAAGACTTCATGTAGTTGTCAACTCCAGCAGAGCAATATCATCCACAACACATAACTTCAAAACACTGAGAATAATATGGCTAGTCCACATAGAGAGGATGAGAAATAGGTATTGAAATTGAAGAATGGAGTGAAAATTAGTGAGGAACAGAGGTCACATGAGGAAAATTTGGAGCCTAACCATATAAGGAGAAGTAATTCGCAGAGATTTCCATTCAATAAAATTAGCAAAACCACAAAAAATAAAGAAAATATCTTTATAGGGATGATATATATAACTTCACTTGAGTTGCAGCTTAAACAATAATCATTTTAGTTTTTATAAAACATTTGCAACTTTTAAAATAAAATGGTCAAATGTTTATCTAATGAAAAAGAAGTTGAGTTATTTTTCAAAAGAAAAACATATGAAAATTCATAAGATTAGAACTCAATACTACACATGATTTTGAAATTCCTTCTAATAAATACATGAAAAATAATAATGCCTACATAAAAATGAAATACAAATAAAATTATTACTTGAACTATCACTGGAATTCGATTCAGAAGGAGGTTCAGTGTTTGAACCTGAGTCTCTGAAGTAACGATAACGCAGAAATACACGCCAATGTGAAAAACTGTTTTCTATGTTCTGCCTTAAGAAAACACTATCAGCATCTGAATCAGAACCATTAGTTGGTTCGGACAAGCTCTGACTAGAAGGTGAAGCAATATCTGGTGGCATTTCAGGCCTTTGGACCCATGCAGGAATAGGAGGATGCGATGCTGTAGGAGGCTCAGTAGAAGTTGTAGTGTGAGGGCTAGAATAACCAGGTGCAGAAAATGATGGTGAAGGAGAATCTTGCCCAGCAAATGGATCATGACGAGGGCAACCATTTGCTATCGGAGGGCAATCAGGAGAAGATTCTGGAGATACTGGATCGAAAATAACGTTGCTCGAAGTAGGACAAATTAAATTAGTAAGGCGCTGGCTATATGATGGAGGAGGAGTAAGAGGTCTATGCCAAGTTGAACCATTGTCTGAAATACTTGTTTCTGAACTACTGGAATCAGACACTCGAGAAACACCATTCCTTCTTCTAGTTAGAAATGATCCGATTCGACTTATAAAAGAGGGTCTGTCCTCTGTAGTTTCAGTAGGTACAAGAGGCTCAGGTAATATTAACATATTAAATGCTTCGTCAGATACGGCTCTATTAGAATTATGCCTCGTTTGAAAATTGTCAATAAGAAAGTTTGCATCTTCTGGTGCAGAAGGGCTCATTCTAGCAGACATGGCAGCTGCAGCAGTCCTAGTTCGAGCCAGTATTGAACGACCAGTTTCTACCTGAGATCTTAGCCTGGCAAGCCTTTCATATAAATAATTTGCTCTCACTGTGAGGTGAGTTCTTTGAGATGAACCTTGAAATGGCTCTGCTGATCCTCCTTCATTTGACACCCGAGAAGATGAAGTCAATGTACTATCATTGACACTATTAGAAGGTCTACGTTGTTGTAATGTTGCTGTTGATGGCCCTGGTTCATTATTATCAGTGAAATTTGACCGCTGACAGGCAGAGCACCTTTGTGATCGATCTTCTGAAGGTTCCATAGGATCAGTTCCACGGTCCATCTGAAAAAAAAAAATATATATAATTTTCTTCATTATTAACCAGTAAATAAAATTAGTAAGGTAATCATAATTAAATAAGTTAACTTTAACTACAGGAAAATACACTCACGTTAGTAATAACAACGCAACAAAATAACAATGATTTTATTAATTTTTTAGTAACTGCAAATGTTTCCTTAAAAATAAAATATAAGTACTATATAAAGAATATTGGATATGGAAAGAACATAAAACTACTACTTTTGATGGGACTAATATATAATTTTCAAGGAGTATATCATAGTATTATGATGATCTCTAGGTAAAATCTTCATTATGAGGGACCTTTTTTAACATTCACGTTATAAATACTTTGTGGAACAAAAGAATAATTTTAAACACAGTCTTCAAAATGAAAATAACATTAGTTATGGTTATATAGGTAAAATATTAGACTGATACCTATAAAATAAAACAAAAAAGTATATGAGCAATATAATAATATGACAAGATTATTACTGTATGAGGTGGATTCCTTCTTGCCATTGGTTGAGAGGCACTCCCACCACTTCCATTAGAGAGCCGATAATAACGTTCAACCAATTGTTCATACTGCTCTACCATATAGCGATAACATATAGTTATCCTTCTTTCATGCTCAGCCTGCGACAATTGAGGTGGAGGTTGGGGAGCTGAGACCCGGTCCCACTGACTTTGAATCCTCGTTGGTGCATTAGCAATCCCAGTAACCAGTTTTTCCCCAAGTTCATCAAAAGCAACATACCTGTTTAAAAAATGTAAGTTTAAAATAAATGAAAGTATCTAGATTTAATTTCTTATAGTTAAAAGACAAAATATCACTTCACATTTAAAGTGCTTAATTTAATTACATATTAAATGAATAAGACTTTACTTAAAGATCAACATTAACAAAATTGAACACATCCAGCAAATGAAAAATTCCAATAACTGAACATATAGAAAATAAAAAATAAGCTACTCAAATTGAAAAACTACACTATCAGCCTATATTTAGATCCAAACATATTAATAGCATTGTTTAATAGGGAGAAATGCAAGTTAATACTAAAATATATTAAAGTATGAATCAATATCACGTAAATAAAAAAAATGATAACAGTTACATTGAAAAATTACCTGACTTTTTCACGTTCATTTGATGTACAACATTTAGCAAAAGGCTTTTGCTGACTCCAATCCCAAAAATGAATTTCATTGTATGATGCTATGACAAGAACCCTGTCAGTTGGATGAAATGCCAGAGAAGCAATTACTGTCTGACTATCAGCTGTCCAGATCTCACTTCCACCCTAGATGATAAAAAAGTTTTAAAGAAATTATCAAGACCTAAATACCATACACTGTATAAGTGATAAAAGTATATCTAATCCTTACATGTAAATCCCAAACTCTAACTTGCCCACCAAGGCAACCAGATGCAAGGATTTGATTTGATGAAGGGTGAAAGGCTATACACCAAGGAGTTCGTGGATGCCCAGTCAAAGTTTTAACATTTTTACCATTTGTAAGATCAGTAACATAAACATTGTGATTGCCATGTGTTGATGCAATCATTTTCCTAATCAACACATTTAATTATGAGATTATTAAAAGTGAAAATTACAACAATTAACTTAGTTAGGGTTTAAGTATAGATTTCCAAAATTGAAACATCCAATTCAAGAACTAGGGTTATGATATGAATGTTACTAAAATGTTATATGGAAGATGAGATAAAAATAATTAACATCAGAAAAAAATTGGAAACTACTGAAAGGTTAAAATATTGATTATTTGAATTCCTATAAGTAGTTGTTTTCTTGGAGTTTTTCAATCAAATCAACAGTGCACTTTACCACTTTGGAATTACATTCTCATTACAAGATTATCACTAAAAAAATATGGTCTTAGTTTGTATAGCATGTTCTCAGCATTAGCCGTGACAAATGAATACCATAGATGTCATTATAATTGTCAACTTGTCACAAACAATTAATACAAGCATTAAGTATTTTTTTTTTTTTTTCAACCGCCTCTTTGACTTATTGACTTCCCTCATTAGTCCTCTAGCAGCAATGGGGCTGTTCCAGACCACAGCTATGATCGAAGTAAATGCAATAGACATTAAATAAATGGATAAAACATACTTAAAGTGCAGAAAAAAAATTGTATAAATGATTGAAATAATTCAAATGTAATAAGTTAATTTTCAGAATTTAGTTGAATAAGGAATGCACAATTATTGAAAAAAAAAAAACATTCTAGTACAGAAATCAACTATACATATAATATTAATAAAAAGGATATTATTTCTAATCAAACAAACATCAATTTATATATACATACCCATCCGGACTAAAAACCATAAGAAAAGTCGATCTCGTGCCGTCAGGCAAATAACAATTCTGAAAATAACACAATAAGTATACATTATGTATTTGTAAACTTGTAATATTAGTGTGAAAATAAAAGCAAACTTACGAATTCTTCATGATTTTTGGAAATTAATTTCTCTTCCGCAGCCCACTGAAGGCCTTTGGCTGGACCACCTTTTTTCGTGTTGATACCAGCTTCCCTGAGTATGCAACACAATGGAACATTTTTCCTTGTTTTGTGTTGGACAAATGATACAACTTTATTGGTTTCCATTTCATTCTACAATATTTTAATAAACCACTTTAGTTTAGAATGAATTATATTAGTTAAAAACGTTTATTATGAATGTAAATTGCTTTAAATGTAAACTTTAAAGTGTGATATGGACCAAGAGAGCAAATCATGTACTAAAGACTGCAACAACATATCATTAAAATACAACCTTAAAACTGAATAATAAGTGAAATGTAAATAAAGCTCCCTTACCTCATCAAAATTTTAATTCATTAAATTAATCAAAAGAAATGACACATTAAACTTTAAATCTGGATGTTGTTATTATTCTTATCAAAGCAAATGTGACATAACACAGTCACAATTTTTCTCATTTCGAAACTAACCGATGATACGTCTTCTTTAACAACAGATTCACAAATGGTTTCAGAATAGCACATCTCACTTATTTCTTCTGGTAACTGAAAGCATTTAAATTGTAGCTTTAATACACATTTTGATGTCCAACGCGAGAGATGTTACCAAGAACGCTACTAAAAACCAACTTGTTATCAATGCGATGACTGGAGTTATGGAAAGGTTAAACACACCAAATTTGTACACAATAAATCTTCGAAGAAATATTCCCCAATGGCGGATTTAAATCCAATAGAATGGGGAACATTTAAATTTTTAAATTCCCCGAAAAGGTCCTGATTGTCAGAACACCTTGAATGATCAAAAGTAAATACAAATGCAGTGATGTATATTATTATTAATCCCAATTTTTGAGGTAAATAAAAAAGAGAGTTGTGAAAATGCTGAAATAAAAGCGGATTCCTGAGACCGAACTAAACGTTTTGAGTAACCATTAATGTTTCTAATATATTATTTACAGTTCTGAAATTACATTTGTTGTCGCGACTGCGTAACCGGTTTTGGTATATGTAAAACTTCGGTTTATTTTTTTTTTTTGTTAAAACTTTATTATTGAATATAATATTTGATTACATTTGAAATATGTAAAATGAAATAAATGTCATCTTGCTTTGTGCCACCGAGGGCAACCTAATTTGACAAGCCTGCTGAAGAAATACAATTTGTATGATACTCTATGGAATTAATTAATAGCATTTATTAAGTTAATTAATAACTGTTCATATTTAAGTAATTAATAATAGTTAATTATTAATACATCAATATTCTCTACTATTCAACGAATTCTAACTTATGTTTAAATAAATATGAGAAGTCGCTATTTGTATGAGATCCTACTTATCTAGTTTTAAATTAACAATTGGCAGAATTAAGGTTGATTTATCCAAATTTTAATAGAATTCCGGGATTGGAGAGTGGCCACTGACAAATTCTTGTCTCTGACTAAAAAATAAAAAATATTATACTGTTCCTTCATAACAACTTATATTTTGGGAAATGGGGAAGATACGTATGAAATTCTGGAGCCTTTAACAAATAAATTAGTAAGTGAGTTTTAAATAACTAACCACTTGCCTTTAGGACTATATTTTTAACAAATCAAAATAATATATATTTTTGAATAAAATTATTAAATTTAATCCAAAGTTTCGTAAAATAATTATTAATATACTGACCCCTTCCCCTCACTCACCATCTGGAATTTAAAGGATGTAAAAGTGCGTTTAGAATTTCCTAATCTATGGAAAACACAAATATTTAAATTTATTTCCCTATGCAAGTGTTTTTATTCCTAGTTCTTGGTGCTTCCATCTAGTCACTAGCGGATTCAGGATTTAATTTTGGGGGGGGACTTCAGCCCGAAAGATTTGTTTTCATCTACATATAACGATAATTAATTAGAAAAAAAAGAAAGAAATTAACTATCTATATGAAATGGTGTTTAAGTGGTTCTTAAAGTCCTATTAAATGTAATTACACGAACAAGAATACTTAAAGAGATAGTTTTTAATATTTATTTCTGTGAAACATGGTTATATTTTACCATTTTTGGGAGGGGGGGCTTCGGCCCTTAAGCTCCCCCCCCGTAGATCCGCCTGTGCATCTAGTTTCGGTAACGAGAGAAATTAAAGAACTTAGCGCTAATGTCTCTATTAGTTAAGTTAGATAATAGTGGTTCCAATGGTTATTTCACTGAACTACTGATGGATCCACGGGAGAGGCGTCCTCCACCCCCTTCATCCTGGAAGGGAAGAAAAAATTTATCTTAGAAAAGTAAGCTTTTATAATCATCATTATTTTATTAAAAAGTAAATTGTACTAAACAACCAATTTTTATTTATACCCAAAAACAACAAATAATAAAAAAAAATCCGAATATTTACATATAAATTCTTCATTTATTGGCTTAAGATTTGAAGATTGTAGCTGAAAGTAGTTTTTGAGAGAGCTTTGATAGCTTGGAAACAATTTTTAATCGAATTTATGGAAATAAATATATGCACAAATATGTTTCAGGTACATAGACATCAATTATTCACTAAAAACATTTTGACTGCCATTTTAGGCGAAATGCTAGACGAAACAAAAAAATATAATACAAATAAATAAATATATAATACACACACACACACACACACATATATATACACATATACAGAGGGTGTCCCTACGTAGAAAGAAATTTTTATAGAAATGATAGCAGACCAAGGTCTATCAAATCAATATACTAAGCTAACTATAGCCAAATGATGATGAATAAAAGTCACTAATAATTTATGCTTTTTTAAAAAACATAACTTAGGCTACTTTTAGACACTCAAAGGCCTACTTTAATAGTTTTAACAATGACAAATTCTATTATGATTAAAAGTTAATTTCTCCTCTGCTGAAAATCGGCCCATATTTTTTCTGAACTTTTTTGTAGCTCTTTAGAACTTAGGTAATACTATCCATAGATCTTGGAGTTAGAAGGCTTCAACTTGTCTTGTCTTTCTATCAGTATTATGAATAGCGTACTAGAGAAAACAGATGGGGTTGATGGAGACGGAAAACAATTCAATAATAATTAATTTTCTGTTATTACAAAATTAAATTTTTCAGTTTGTTTTACATTTTTCACTCATCTAGCTTGTTTCTTTTAAATTATTTATCAATAAGTATTTTTGTTGATTTTTTTTCTTTTCATTTTACTAGTCTCTCATTTATTTATAACTTCTTCCTTATTAGTTACCTAAAGCATAAGCCTCCTCAAAATTTGAGATTTTACGTTTCAGAATACGTAGAACTTGAAAATCGAATAAACAAATTTGGTTCATCCACGACTTTTCTCATACTACTGGACCGATTTTTTTTTTCAAATTTGGAATATATTTTTTATCCCTGCCTTGCCTTACAGACAACACGCGTTGTAGCAGCAGTGGGCTATTACGCAGAGTATTTGCGTTGCCACTGTTGGCAGTTCAGGTCTATTTTATTAAAATCTTTAACTTGGTTTAGCATTTATTATTTTATAATTGTGATTGTGGCAACTGTGGTGTAGACTTGTGACAGTTGTGCACAATCCCACGCCTTTCCTTTTCTCCATTCTTCCATCTGAAGCAGCTGCAGCTTGTCTTAAGTTCCTTCTCTTCTTTCCAGATTAAAATGTGCAGAGCCTACAGCATCTTTCCACCCGTATACGAATTCCCTATAATGTGGGTAATTATCTCTGCTCATTAGCTGAGGAAACATGCTCTCTGTCAGTGTATATATCCCCGTCTCTCTCAGGAACTTAGCCCTTAGTGCCTCATAGGCAGTTCATTCAACGACAATGTGTTCGGCGGTCTCCGAAACGTTACAGTTGCTGTTGGGGCCTGTATAACGAATCAATATTCTTCCCGTATGTAACTATGAGCTTCGTTCGAAAGTCCCCATATCCCGGGAGGAGTTGAGACACCCAGCAATCCGGGAGGACCCATCTTGCATCTAATCGTGACTTGACCGTGGGGAAGTATTTTCTTAGGATAGCTCCCTTCGGAGTTGCCATCCATCGCCAGTTCGATTCATCAACTGTGTCCTTCCTGATAATTCTTTTCCATCTTCTTGGGTCTTCATAAATTCTCATCTTTAGATGTTCCGGTAGATCCGCCGAACCTTCTCTTTTCATTTTAAATAAGAAATAGTCTTCTCGCAGGAGATGATCGAGAGGTATTCCCCATTCCCTTGCACTGCCTCATGAGACAGTCTCTCATCTCGCAGTTAACTATTAGCTTAGTACTGTAGAGATAATACTGTATTTATGTAGATAGGAGAACCTAATTAAGCCCAAATGAAGTGTTAAATGCAAAAGTTTATTGGTTATACCAATTCTTTACATATAGTATCTAAAATTGTCAAGCATTAGTAACCATTTTACCTTAATTTTTATTAAGAAAATCGATTTCATTACCAGTCTTGCAACAGTGAGGCGTTCTTAGTCAAGTGCAAGACCAAGACCCATTTTGGGCAACACTACCTGTCAGTCATGACCTTCAGGGGAATTGCCTGGGTCTTTGTGATAGCCATCTTCAATTTCTTCCTCTCGCACTATCTTCAGCATTATAAGCTGGCGTATCACGTTCAGCTTCTGCTTTCAGACTGGCTATGCTGTTTGAGGCCACCATGGCGGCAAAATCGTCAACATAGGCCGTGGCAGGGAACCGCTCCTCTTCGAGCTTCACCAGCAACTCGTCAAAGAGCAGCTTCCACAAGACCAAGAACAGAGCCCTGCGGGCGACACCTCTCGACGGTGTTTTCTACTTCAAAGAATCTGCCTCTAATTTTCAATACACAGTCTTGGAAGTAGCTTCTCACTAGATCATACAGATTACTGGGAGTTTCATACTTCTGGAGAACACTCGGCCACCACACGCTGTCAAATGCAGAGGATATTTCAAACAGGAGAAGCATAACATAGCTTTCTTCTGTCATGACGCGCTTTCAATATGCCATCTGCGGTTCTCTTGCCTTTATTGAATCCATAATGCTGTGGATAGCTCAATCTTGATAAGACTGGCCGAAGACTCGAGACCACCTGGTTTTCCAATACCTCGCTCATTACAGGAGACAAATAGACCTGTATGATTTGACAAGTTGCTTGTCCTTGTCTCTTCCTTTGTAGAAGAGTCTAACATCAGAAATTTTCCAGATTCTTGGAAAGTATCCCCTATCTAGGCAGTCATTGAGAATCGCAAGCAGCCTTTTCTCTAAATAGGTAATACTATTCTTGAACATTGGCGCATCTATTGCATCTAAACGTGGGGCCTGGCCAGTCTTTTGCCTTTCCACAGCACTACGGAGGTCGCGAATGACTTTGAATTGGAATCAAAGCCTGAGGTCACCAGAGTATGGAACTCCTACTTCAACATTACGATCTGCCCTTTCCTTTGAAGATGGCAGCTGAAAAACCTGTGTGTGTTGGAAGACTGCAGCACAAAAGGAATGTACGGGTTTCAATGAAACTTGTAGTATTAGATTCTTCTCGATGCCCTTTAAATATTAGGAATCGCCTTATATTTATTTTTCTTCATGTATTATTGTTAGGAAATAATCAACCATTGTGTAATAATTTTCAGCCTTCTTTAAACTTGAGTTTTAAAAAAATATAAATTATTTGTAGATGGAAAATGAAACTTTTCCCAACTATATTTAGTTTATTTAAAGTTTTCTATTAAACCTTACACAAAATGTACATAAGATACAAATTATTGAATGTTTCCAATAATTTTTTATTAATTTATCAGAAACATTTTTGCAAAATAAAATCATATGACCACAAATCTAGGACTTGTAGAAGTAAATAGGCCATGGATGAAAAAAACAAAACATATTTACAATGGGAAAGTTAAAAGTAATGTTACTCAAATTGGTCATTTGAGTGTGATCTTAATTTCGGTAAAGGGTAAGATCAACACATAGTAAAAAGAAACAAATATTCATGTTAAATTACAAAAAATAAATAAATGTATTAATTTATTTTTAAATTAGAAAGCAAAATTTATATCCACAACCTTTTCTTTTTATCCAGGTTTAAAACCTTTATGATGTATTACTATGCATAGAGGTTGGAGATATGGGAATTGAAATATTTTCTGTTTGAGTGACCAGCCACTGAAAGCACAGCTGGAGCTTGGAGCTGAGCTGTCAGCTTTCAATAATTCAGTTGAGCAGCATAACAAGGATCAGCTCAGCTCAGCTTTGGTTCGATTTTGGAAGCGACTCCGCTATAATCAGCTTCCCCCACACCTACTCGCAACCATATGGCTTTGTTCCTCAGTTTCATCCTTTTCGCTTATTTTCATTGCACCTTTCAAATTACTTTCTTTTGGTTCAGTGTAAAATATGCAATGGATGTTGAATAATTCTTAATCAAATGTGTAAGGGAAAATATAGGATTTTTCTTTTCAACTGTTGACTTGACCAACTTTATTTTTTTTAAATGTTAAATATATATATATTTTTAATGTTGTCCACTTGTTTTCAGTGCACAACCTCTCAAATTATTTTATTTGATTCAGCATAAAATATGTAAGGATGTGGAAGCATTTTTAATCGAATGTTTAAGGGAAAATATTAGCTTTTTCTTTTCAACTCCGACATGACCAACTTTGTTATTTTTTTTAAATGTTGTAAGGAATATGAGGATACTAATGCAAGGCAAGTGGCAAACTGAGCTGAGCTCCACTACGTAATCGGTTGCCGATCCCCTCTTTCTATACTCAGCTCAGCTGCACTTTCGGGGGCCGGTCAGCCTTAACTAAAAATAAATGGAATTAGTCCAGTACTGAAAAATTAAATATTGGCAATGGGCACGACGCAGAGTTTTAAGGTAAGTAATTAATACAATTTGCTATTTATGTACTGATTATGGACTACTGGTTAATTAGCTACAGTAAATGATTTAAGAAAACAAGTTTATTGAGTCAAAATCAATAAAAAGTTCTGTCAAAAATATCTGCATATGGCATTCATAAATATTATACTTCCAAAATTACAACATTATAGGAGTATATTATACAATTTTAATAAATAATTTTTTAATCTCATTATTGTCATACTACATAGTCCATAAATTTTTGTGTATATTGATTATTAAATATTTATTTTTTAAAACATCAACATAATATGCATATTTTATATTTTATACAATTGCTTAGTAATTATATTAAAAAGAGTGTAACTACTAGTTTCATTATTAGTTTGTGAAACAGTAACAAAAATATGCTATATTAAAATCACAATACAAATAAACAATAACAATGACAACTTTAATGATTTAAAACAAATTAACTATAAAATTTCATGATAGCTTGCTGGATCAAATTGAAAAAAAAAAAGAAAGAATGATAAATAAATAAACTTTCAGGCACTAGATATAAAAATATAAGAATAGACTAATTTTCAATGAACAAACTTAATGCGATGCATTTATAATGCAGTCAATTATAATGTGAATTATTTATTCAATTCACGAAAAAGCCAAATAAATCACTATCTTAAGATTTGGTTTCATTAATGTATCATTGGATATCTTTAATTCATTTAATGACAGTATGGTGAATAAGGAGAAAGATTTGCATATAAAGATAGTCATATGTTTAGAAAACATTTTACATAATCTAACTTATATACAATTACAATTTTAGAAATCTAACAAAAGTTACAACAACTTTTAAGATAAAAGTTCAGCTAAAGTGGGGGAACGTCAACGTCCATAGGTTCACTATCACCATTTAATGGATCTTTGGAAGTGGAGCATTCAATAACATTTTCGCTGACGTCATCAACAACTGATTCTTCTATTACTTGCTCTGAAAAATGGGATTCATCTTCCTTTTTCAAATTATCTTCATTATGAATTATGGAATTCTCTGGTGAATCTCTGTTATCAGTAGAAAATGCACTTTCAGTAGCAGAAGCATCTATTTCATCACTGTCTTCATGTATTCTTTTGTCTTCACTTTCAAGTTTTATTTCACCATCCTATAAATAATTAATTTTTAATAAAACAATTAAAAATAATCTAATTATGATTTTGGGGAGCACGTGGATAGGAAGGAATAGAGCTGGGTAGAAATATACATATGGTTAACCTGGGCAGGAGAGATTTGACTTAAATAGCAGATTGTGACCAGTTAGTATATATATATATATATATATATATATATATATATATATATTATATATATATATATATATATATATATATATAAATATATATATATATATATATATATATATATATATATATATATATATATAAGCATGGGTTGCTTTTTAAAATTAAAACTCAATCAATTTTAACAACCATTCACCTCAGTCAAAATCTGTTTCGCAATATTTATTTCATTGTATAGCACCATTTTGGGATGTGAGAAGGAATTGGTAGAGATGATATTTAATTGAGGACAAGGAAGAGGCATGACGGATATCAGATGGCAAGGAATTCCAGAAGGCAGTGGATCAGCCAATAAAGGAATATTCAAATGTCTTAGTTCTATGGGAAGGGATATAAAGGCACAATATAATATATATATATATATGACTATGATAGTTAACTGAGCTCAGACAGGACGAAGAATCATAAGGCTTCCTCGACTGAATTGGCACCCGTTTTCATAAGAAAATCCAGAAGATTTGTAAAGGAGGAAAAATAAGAAATTATCATTTCTTTACATTACATCAAGTCATAATACAGGTTTGTAGTTGCAGTAACCTTACACATACTAGTGGATGGAATGCTATTAAGGAAATAGAAATTCATTTTTTAAAGTAGAAAAACCTATATAAGGTATATAACGAAAACTAGATTACATTCAGGAATAATAAGATTTACCTAATGGTTGTTAGGAGTGGGAAAAAGGATCAACAGGCTTCCTTGCAAGACTTGACCCTCCCCCCTCCACTTTTATTAGTACCCGAACTATACATACATACAGGTCACACTTAGACCTTAATAAGTGACCAGAGGTAATCCCAAAATTGCAAGTGCTTCATCAGAAACCTGCAATTCCATTTGGTCAATTTAATAGAAATAAGTATGAACTAAAATGGATTGTAGTGAGGATAGCTTATTCTCCCTCTGGATAAAATAAAAAACAAACTTCTACTAAATTACATAAAACCATGCTTCAATTACTTACAGGATAATTCAAATGAGGTAGTACTGGCAATCGTATATGAAGAATACAAGTATCTCCTGCACACAATCCAGTAATAGGAACTTGACAACTCGTGTCTGCCTTGGCGCAGCCACATGCCTTGAAAAGGCATTGATTAGGATCCTATAAAACATTAGACACATTATTCAAGGGAAAACTTTTATCTATATTATATTTTAAATTTTTTCCCTGTATTATTTTAAACAAATCTTCTACTACATTTGTTAAATGTTGGTATTACTGATAATGAAGATTTTTGGACTAATGATGTGTACTTTTTATTTTACAAACATTTATATATAACATGCTAGGAAATAAGAGATGTTACATGAGGCCATCCTTCCTTACAGGATCTACATGCTAAATGTTTAATACCATGTTCCTTTAGCAACAATTATGCGATGCCCTTCTCATGAATCTACACAATCTATTTGAAGGGTACTAATGCATAAATAGAAAAACTTATTATATAGAAGGATCTAAAATTCGCAAGGCTATCCACGATTTAAAGATTGCTCAATAAATATGTTCATACTGAACCAAAACTGATAAAAATGTACAATTCTTTATTAACAAATATCTGTCATTAACAAGCTCGGGTGGGTGCTAGTGTTTCTTCGGTTCTCTGTCATGATATTAGGTTAATCCTCCTTTAAGTAGAGTTTTGGATTTTAATATTAACAAATCATTACAATTTGGTCTGACCAGATGGCAACATCTATCGGTCGGTGCCATTAATAATAAGTAAATAATTTCTATTGGGTTAAATTTTTTTTTCTAACAATTTCAATTCATGATATAGTAAAATTATATAATAAAATATACCATGATGATATAACAAATTATAAAAGGCATGAACAAACCTTAAATATGCAATTTCAGTCAAACAATCAAACTTTTCGTTTTCAAGCTAGGCTGTTCTTCCAAACATACCATTTACCAGGACTTGGTTATTTAGACTTAGGGGACCACAAAACATGTTTTTCCGTTGAATACTCAGATTACAATATTTTCACGATTGCAAAAATTTCCTTTACTATATATAACATATGTAGGAGATAAGTGAATGAAAAATCATCTTTAGATAAGGTCACAATATTTAGACCTCGCTCTTGGACTAAACGTGGCCAAATACCAGTGAAGCAAACAGAAAAAATCAAAATATTTGTAGTGATTAAAACATAAATATTGCGATGTTGAATGATATAATATAACTACTTTAAAAATTAAAATCTAATGTTTTATCACAAATCTTAAATTTTCTTAGGTATTGTTAATTATATCTTACTCACATGAAGAATATGCTTAAAGCAATACTTGGTAAGTGGTATAGTAACACTTGTACAACGTACTCCTCCTTCAGTAAATGCACATCTCTGAGAATGTCCATGTGGTTTAAAGTTACCTCCACTGATGTCCTAAAATAAACAATTTATTAAAAACATTAGAAATAAGTTTATCCTACAATGTTATAACTGGCCGAGGCACTGAGTGCCTTTCCGAGTCCCCTTCCCACCGTCGCCCATAGGCAATAGATTAAACACTTATAAGTTTAAAGAATAGAATAGATACCTTTGGGTTAATTTTGCAGGAATCCAAATAATTCATTCATTTGCAGAGACACTATTAATGATATATCGAAATAACGGAACGGGAAAAAAAAAACACCTGGTAGTAAAAGTAAAAACAATAATAGCATCAAGCACTATCAACAGTCTTGCCTACCACAGGAAGGAGAAGCCCGATTGTTTTCTGCAATTCCTCTAGCACCTTATGGGAGCTTCTCTCCAGTTAAAAAAAAATTAAAGAAATATTGCACATTTCAAGGTTGTGATGGCCGAGAGGATTAAAACATGAACTTTAACATTCTGGGATCTAGTGATGCCAGTTCAAATCCGGCCTGAGCGAGTTAAAATTTATTTTATGGCGGACTCATGGAACGAATCTCAACCTTCCCATTCTGATTAGAATAGGTTTGGTAGTATCTTAAGAATGACCTTCTCCCTTATATTCCACAAATGATGAGATAGGAGGTAATCAAAAAAAGAAAAAAAAGATATGGTACATTTTAATAAAGCATGAAGCCACAATGATATAAAATTAATTACTTTAGCCAAAGTAAGAAAAATACTAATTAGTTTAAGAATAATATTGCTAAAAGTGAATTTGACAATTATTATGCTTACCCGAGCCCGTTTTTCGATACTTGCTATATAGGCAAGTGACTCAGCATTAGAGCGTTTATGATACCTATTTAAAGCTTTGAGTTTCTCGTACAACTTTTGTTCCTTTGCTGATGTTTTAGCTTGGTCATATATAGATGCTGTAAAAATATAAATAGTAATAAAAAAAAAAAAAGAATTGTGATAAAGATGAAATATACAATATGAAAAATTTGAGTCAAAACTAACAAAGAGTTTCTTTTTCTTTCCTTAACGAATGAAGATAATGCCTTCTTTTTTCTTTTAATAAATATGTTAACCTTTCAAACTGTCTCTGGTATAACACTTGCAGTCTTATAAGCTTGTTTCTGGTAATATTCACAGCCTCTTCAGAAGTATAATAACCAGCATGTCTACAATTCATAACATTAATTCCTATATAAATAAAATAGTAATTGCATCAATATAATTACAATATATAGAATATTAAAATTATTTTGACTGAATCAAATCTTTACCATACATTTTATATTATTCCCTTAACATCAGCAATATTTTAGAGCTGTATGATGACCATTTATTAATTAAATCTTAATTGATCAATTGTGCAGTCCAATGACACAACTAAAGATCTTTTTAGAAACATATTTAATGTAAAGGAAACAATAGAGAATAAAATACGTAGTAAAAAGTGAACACAGTCTAGATAATTTCAATATTTAGAATTTTTATCAATCTCCCAAGAGAATCAGTAAGATATTGCATGAAATAACTTTTTACACTATAATGAATTCTTTAACCTCATGATAATGTAATACTAAAATGTTGAATTAACAAAATAGAAATGATGAATAATATTAGATTTATATCAGTGCTAGATAAATTATCTGAATATTTACAAATTTAAATAGAATGAATATATATACCATGAAACATATGGCAAAAAAAGATTAGTATTTGAATTGAAATTGTGAAATAGATTTTTTAAATTTTAAATAAATTGGCTGATTAGTAAAGTAATTGAATGAAAAAAATGTTTTTAATTTGACCATTCTTTCAAAATGATTTTATTTTAGCTATTAATCAAAGCGTTTTTAATAAAAAGAAAGATAACGCATTAAAATGAAAACTACAGACATTTCTTTTCTGTTTGGATTTATATGTAATGTTCGTTTTTATTCTCAACTCTCAGTTCAAACATAACATTAGATTTATATAACATAATACTTAACATATGTATCATTCCTGATTTCATTTTGAACTTCAAAATTTCTCCACATAGAATAAGAATTTAAATTGATTTGAAACAAGTCAACCATGACTGTAGATCGAATCCTTATTTATTTGGAGAAAAAATCTTGACCTATGTTGAGGCATATGCTGTAAATCTTACTTAAGAGGATCATCTGCTTGGCTATCAATGCTTTCAGCATCAGAAGAATCTTCATTAGCACCCTTCCAAATATTATCTAATGTTGCTGGTTCAACATCACTATCAGATTCACTGTCACACTCCAAAACATTTGTTTTTATTTGAGATGCTTTCGTGACATCTGTTTCAACTATAAATATAAAAAAATTAATAAAATACAATTTATCAAAAACTATTAATAGACAAAATACAATGCATACCAAAAGGATCGATTGCTCTGATTCTAGATGAACTTTTTACCTCTTCCCCTTCTTCCGTTTTAATATTGCGAACTGGTTTAGCATAATGAGATAAGCCTGAAAGTAGAAATTCTGGAGTTGTGGGAGGCACATGCTTCGATGTAGAGCGTTGGCTTTTAATTTGAGTTTTCCATGTATGAAGGGAACAATACCTGCAAATTAATAACAATATGACTATTATATTTCTTAAAATAATGAAATCGTAGTATAAAAATTATTTCTTCTTTAATACAAAAAATATGACGATTTTTCTCAATTACAATACCTTCTAGTACTACATAATTCATATTAAGGTAAATAAAAGTTAAAATAATTAACTAAAGTAAGCATATTGAAATAAATTTAAATCTCACATTCCACTGATAGATAAAGAACCAGATAAAATAGGCACAGTAATAAAATATACTCACAAAAAAGTAATAGGATTCTGAGAAAATTTTATTTAGTGCAACAATCATTCTTATTTGTGATTAGTAATCCGATTATCAAATCATGTAAAATTGAGTAAAAATTTCCCTCCTAAAATGGTGGATAATTTACTGAGTTGGTGATTGGTCGGTCTTGTATATTCGAGGACATTTAGGAATCTAGTAGCCCTGGAGCCAGGGTCCAAAAATCGACCTGATCGCAGGCGAAGGTTTGATTGTAAATTACTAAAGTGTATGTTATTCTGAGTAAAAAGAACTTTGTCTGCTTTTCCAGAGCCGCTGCTTTCAAAAATGGCGGCTGATTTAAAGAATATTAGGCTAACAATTTGAGGACCGAAACGGGAAATCCATAGCGAAAAATGTGAGAAAAGCTATTATTTTTTTAACTTTTATAAATGGTTTTAGACATGGAAAAAAAAAAAATTGCTAACGCGAGCCACCAAGGGAAAACTTTTTACAGCCAAAAAAGTCAGATTTTTTCGATATTTTTTGGGCTTTTCACCTATAACTCCTAAACGATGTATCAAAGCGAAAAATGTATTCTTTAATAAATTGAAGAACGTTAAATTTTGCGTCAAACGAGTATATAAACTTTAAAATTTGGTGACGTGGTAAGATACGCTGAGTTTTACCAAATTTGTCAAAAACTGAGACAAATTACTATGAATGGCCCTGTAACTTGGAAATGAGTTCCCTAAGAGGAAAAACTCATAGAATCAAAGTAGTAGAGCATAAAATTTTGCGTATACTAAGCACCAACTAATATAATGTAGGTCACTTGCTGCGAATAAAATCGGTAATCTACGGATGGTTAGAAATTAGTAATGAAGGTAAACGTGATTTTCAATATTTCAACAGTATGGAAGGCTATTTTACTGAGTTAGTTTTGTTTAAAATCTGCTACATGCAGTATAAGCCTCTTTTCCACCTCTTCAACAGCAAAAGATTTTGGTAAACGATGTGCCGAAACATACCGAATTTTATAAAGGAATAACGAATCCCAATTCGAGATATATAATTGGCCTACAATAAAAATGTCAGTACTCAGTATAAGCAAAATTTGATGCTCTACAACTTTGATTCTATGGGTTTTTCATCTTAGGGAACTCATTTCCAAGTTACAGGGCCATTTATAATAATTTGTCTCTGTTTTTGACAAATTTAGCAAAACTCAGCGTTGGTTGACTGTGGTTTTATACCTTACCGCCATACCAAATTTTAAAGTTTATGTACTCATTTGACGCAAAATTTAACGTTCTTCAATTTACTAAATTTTTCGCTTTGATGCATTGTTTAGGAGTTATAGGTGAAAAACCCAAAAAATATCGAAAAAATCTGACTTTTTTGGCTGCAAAAAGTTTTCCCTTCAGATCAGGTCGATTTTTGGGCCCTGGCTCCAGGGCTATAGAAACAGCATGTTCTAGGTGATCTTCAAACTGGCCACTATCTTGGAGTAGCAAATTGGAACCAGTACTTAAATTGATATTCAGAACTATCTGAAATGCTTCCAATGAATTTTATCAAATAATAACAAAGATGTAATTTAGCCTTACCATAAGTAAAAACAATAACTATAAAAGTACCAATTACATTTAGAAAATAAAAATATTAAAAAACTTGACATTACAAAAACTATTACCAATTCAAGAAATAAATGCCTAAAATGCCAATCATATTTATAAAAGTGATAGCTGATATAAAGCACTATTAGCTGGCTCCAGCTAAATTTCATGAATTATCATAATAGCAACCATATTTAGTTTTAAGTAATTGGGATTGATAAATATTAATTATTTTAATATGAATATTGAAAAAATATGAATACTTGCCCTATGTCACTTTTATCACTTTTGAAGGCAGGTATGAGACATCTTTTGTTATTGTTAGGATATGGATGACCACATGGCTTGTAAGGTGCATTCTTATCTTCCAAAATATGCTTTAGGCAATAGTCATACTTATCCAAGACAGGTTGATTACAAACTCTGTTTTTATAACGACAGACGGGATCAGGAACAAGTTTCGTATGACTTTTCTTGATACTGGAAGTTCCCGAACCCGATGACACTTTATTTTGTCGAATCATGATAATAATTCCTTAGAATTCATGAACTACAAAAATTATTACAAATGGTTTCTGAGCTTTCATGCTTCAATGGAACTCAAACTACGTTATCCACAACACTATCTCACTGGGAGAGCCATAATGGCAAACTACTACAAAAAGCATAGATAGCTGAATGTCAAAGCCTTACTGATAAATAATTAACAAATTGAAATAGAACATGATAAAAAAGACATAATTTATTTTTGTTTAATTTTTACCAATTGTATTAATACATTATATTGTAATGAAAAATAATAAATATAGAAAATAAATGACAACATGGAATTTATATAAAGTCGACATATTATCGCTAATTTCACTTCTTTCACTTAATGAAACAGTAAAGGAAAATATTGCGATCGTGAAAATTGTCGAATCTCAATTATGAAAAGAAATACACGTTTTGATGTTCAGTAAGTCCAAATAACCAAGTCCCGGAAAATGGTGTCTCCTAATCCTTTCTTCTTTCCTCTCTCAATTTCTTCAGGACAACTCTGGGGAATTTCTTCACAGTTTCCCATGTTTGTGCGTTCGCAACATAAGCTTTTTTTTTTTTTTTTAACTCCTTGCCTTGCCTTACAGGCAATACGGGTTGTAGCCGCAGTATGCGTATGCCACTGTTTGCAGTATAGGTCTATTTCACTGTCAAAAATTATGGACAAGTCAAAAATTGTTTGAAGTGCATTTTTAATGGAGCTACAGCTTAAAGCTTATAGCTAACAAATCATTAAGACCATTATAAAAACAAAAACTCTATTAATTATATCAGTGATAGACAATAAAAATTCATTACTTCATCAGTTTTTGTAAACTACATAGCTTCAGCCTTTGAGCTATATATATTTATATATGCCTAGAGAGATTTAAAAGTGTATCTGTATATTAAATTTATAAATGATAATGGATTGTACGCCTATTAGTTATTAATCGTTATTTTTCATTTTAAAGTTTAATAAAATAAAATTACGATAGTTTCATTGCCTGCCATAGGTAGTTCAAAAGTTGTCACACTAATTTTAAGTGGATAATTTTGGGACTTCCCAAAGGGAAAATTCATCAAATCATTCACACCATTTTTTTTCTTTTTTTTAAATATTAAAATATGTCTCAAGGACATTTATAATAGTGTTCACAGATCACATTCACACTCTATGTACAATAAATAAAATAAATTATACAGAAAAATAATATATATACAATAAATAAGAATAAAATAGCCTAAAAATAAATGAATAAAAAGAACACATACATATCTATATACAATATTTACAATCTGGCGAGAGAACTCCAAACCAGACTTGTTCCTCCAACTGTGAAGGGAAAAGTAGGAGTCCAGGAGATCCCTGCACTTCTCTCTCAACAGCGTCACTGGTGCTAAACCCAGTGGAGATTGAACAAGAGTGCTTAAGCCACATACATTTACACCATTAGATATAAATAAATATAGCGTCTATAATTTTTACTTTCGCTGCCCCTTGACTGAAAATACTCATTTCTGCTAACCCCTTAAAGTAGGTACGTAAGTATTATATCATGCCCTATGTTCTTATTATTGAAATTTTAGTTTATCTTCAAACATAATTTTATTTTACTCCCTACCTTGCCTTTAAGGCAATACTGGAGTTAGCAGCTGTGACTTCATACACATCTCTGCATAAGCAAACAAAGCACTGCTGCAGTGGTGGATCCAGAAATTTTCTGAGCGAGAGAGGGACGCGCCTGATGGCGGAATTCGCTAAGGGTGGTCTCGAAAATAATTTTTGTTATATCACATTAGGAAATTCGTCTATGATGATGTATTTCCTATATATTTCTCTTTTCTTTAAACAGCTAATTTTTGAAATTTGTTTTCACCTTTCAGGGGTGAGGACGCCTCCTCTCCCTGGCTGGATCCGCTAATGGCTGCATGTTCATCTTTTTACTTAGATAATTATATGTAAACCGCTTGCGTTATTTAAAGATTTTAATTTAGCGACTTTTCTTTTTTCGCACATGTTTAAGCAATTTTCATCAAACCATGATTTGTTATTTTTAGTTTCCTTTTTCCCAAGACAGGAGTTACCTGTCGCTTTAATATTATCCCTAATCCCTATCCATAATTCTCTATATCATTGCGGTCATCGTCAAAAGGTTCTAAAACTTCAAACCTATTCTTAATTTCAAGCTCGATTTGAGTACTAATTGACGGAGTTTGTAATTTTCCAAATTAAAATTCTCGGAATTGAAACGGTTTTCTTTATTCTTTTTTATGTTAAGTTTTTGTCGAAGTTTAGCGATAACTAATTCATGATCTGATCCACATTCTGTGCCGCTATAACATCTTAGATTAATTATACTATATTGGCACCTATTTTGTATAAGGTATCAAGACGTAATCTACTTTAATTCGTGTTTGTGAATCCTAGCATATTTTTTAATATTATTATGTTTAACATAGTAATTTTAATTATTGGGTTTTTCGAGATGACAAAATTTATCAGCAGAATTCCGTTATCATCACTATATTTGCGTATTAGCAATCATAATGAAAATGAAACTTATATTCTTTTCATCTTTGCGTTAGCTCAGTTTATTATAAAATTCGCATTTGGCTTCATCATCACTGTCCTCAGTCGAACAGTGTATGTTAATTAAAGCGATTTTAAACAAAAGTCGCTGAAATATGGCTAACGAAATCCTATTGCTAAAAAATTGTATGCCCCACAAAGCGGATAGAAATCTATTCTTAGTAAGAAACCCGGTACCTAAACAATGATTTCTGCTTCTCCCGTACAAATTGTGTACTTACCTTCACAAATAGACTCCTAGAACACTAGCGGATCCAGGATTTAATTTTGGGGAGGGTGCTTCAGCCCGAAAGCTTTTTTTTTCATAAAAGTAACGATAATTACTTTGGAAAATACGAAAGAAACTAAGTACCTATACGAACTGGTGTTTAAGTGATTCCTAAAGCCCTTTTAAATGTAATTACACCAATAATTATACTTTAAGAGATAATTTTTTAGTATTTTTTCCGATAAAACATGGTTATATTTTACCATTCTGGGGGGGGGGAGGGGCTTCAGCCCGAAAGCCCCCCCGTAGATCCGCCCGTGCCCTAGAAATAGACCTTTGATAAATATTACGCGTTGGTTGACCGTGGTTATCGATTAGACCACTTAACCAAATTCTTATGTTTAGGTACTCATTAAAAGCACAATGTAACCTTCTTTAATTTCTTAAAAAATAAGTTTTGCACTCCGATGCATCGCTTAAGAGTTATAAATGAAAAAATCTGGCTTTTTTTGTTGTAAAAAGTTTTCCCTCGGCGGTCCGCGTTAGAAATTTTGTTTTTTTTACATGTCTGATCCCATATATACAAGTTAAACAAATAAAAAATTTCCCCACATTTTCCGCTAACCCGTTTCGATTCTTAAGTTACTGGTCTAATATTCTTTAAATCCTCCGCAAATTTTACAGGTAGCAAGATCCGACTGGTAAACTCATTTTTTTCAATATAAATGTTATAAACAGGGGTACGTCCGTGTGCACAGCCGGACCTACGGGGGGAGGGGCGCTTTCTGGCTGAAGCTTCCCCCAAAATGGTAAAATGTAACCATGTTTTATAGAAAAAAATATTAAAAACTATCTCTTAAAGTATTCTTGTTCGAGTGATTATATTTAATAGGACTTCAAGAACCATTTAAACACCATTTCATATAGGTAATTAATTAATTTCTTTTTTTTTTCAAATTAATTATCGTTATATGCATATGATATCATTGAGGTCTTATTCCCATTGATGTCATTTTACAGGGCTTAAATGCTCAATGTTCATATATGCCTTCCCCTAAAGTACCTTTAATATGGTTTATTTTGAAAATGAACTCTTTTTTATTGACAGAAACCTATAAAGAATGGCTAAATATGTCCTCCTCAAAAATTTTGATTGAATATGAAATACCCTTTTGGGCACCCCTGGTTATAAATAATAAAAAAAATGCTTTTAAAGTTTTCATAAAATAATGGCAATTTTTTCTTACGGACTCTCGGACTATTAGGGATCCCTCTCCTGACCAGAGAACCTCTTGCAATGCCAGAATATCTAAATTGTACCCATTAATCTCATTTGCAACCGATTTTAAACCACCTGCTGTATTTAAACTTCTAACGTTCCACCACGCTATACTGAAATCTCTAGTTTTCAACTTGCACCATGAATCCCCTAAAGCAGTTCCCACCTGAAGAACTGAAGGAGGGACTAGTTTGTTTCCAGATAATTAGAGTATTACCTCAGGAAGGTTGCTTGATAAGATGTGAACTATAAATACCTGAGTAAGGCATTCAATCCTATATCACACTCTCCAGCAAGTCTGTAAACCCCTCTAATTGTTGGTCAGCAAAACCATCAGACTTAGCCGGGAGGAACTGCCAGCGAATTTCCACCCACCATCCCCACATCTCCCATCCATGGGACGCTCCCCTATGCGCTAATGCGTCTAGGCGAGACTCATTAATCAATTTAAGAATGAATAACTTCTTAAATAGTGTGACAAGGATTTTCGAAATCAATAGATGGTCTTCTGTATGTCCAGCTTGCGTGAAAGTTACACATTCATTTAAACTTTAATTTGAAAATTTCTAAAATTGGACTTTAAATACTATCATTTGACATAGATATAATATATATTTGTCTGCAGCTTAGCAGATTAAAAATTCTTATGTGAATTGGAGTAATTTTTTGTATCTCAAAAATGTTTTCAGCATAAATTGTGTTAAAGTAGATTTACTGCAATAAGTATGCTTCCCATTAAATCATACTGACTGGTAATTCATTATTTATTTAAAGTACATAAATCATTTTTATTTTTTGCTGTAAGGTTTTATGTTTTTGTATAAAGCTGTTAAAATTCTTTAATCTCAAAATATTCAAAATAACAACCCAATATTTTGATTTGTTTCATTAGACATGTGAGTTAGTATTTTTAGACTCGATAATGTTTCAGCTTTTATTATTTGACAAGTTTAAATGGTTATTGTTGAATTCTATAATACTTATCGAAACTTTAATCAAATTTTTCTGGACCAAATTTATATAAATGCAATTATATAAAATAGATCAACATTAACTAAGCTTATTATGTATAACCATATTGCAAGCTTACATGTTTTTATGTATTTCTCAAGATTTGGTATAGTGTATTTATTTTATATTTTTTCTATTGTGTGGTTCTCTTCATCAACATTCTGATCGGACAACCCTTTAGGTCAATAAAAACACTTAATTTGTGAGGCTTTTTCTTTTCATTAGGAGATATTTAATTAATATAAAATATACAGGTATATATTTTCTAATTTAGATAATAAAATTTTTATCACCCCTCCTTCTTCATGAAAAGAAAAATTATTATTGTAAGAAGTTATCAGTAAAAGGAATAACTGAATCAAGATATATTTTGATGAGTGTACTTATCTTTGTTGTAATAATTTAAATTCTTGTTTGATTAAATTTATTAACAATTAATCAAAATTATCGTAGTAAAATTTATTTAAATATTTTTTTTTTGTAAATATTGAATTATATGGTTTTAAACAAATATCAGAATTAGTGAAGTAAATATGAAGATGTTCCAATTTTAAGTGACACTGTTTCAAAAACTTTTCTAATGGTAGGCGTAGATGATAGATTTTATAATTCAATTATATTCAGGTAATTAAAATTTAATGGTTGAAAATTGTAATGAAAAAAAAATAGTACAGGAAAATATTATAAATATAACTTTGTAATTCATCATTATTTTACAAATATTTATTTGAAAGAGATTATAAAATATCTCTCATAAATTATAACAATTACATTGTTATTGAATACGCATTTGTTTATTAAATACATTATAATATTTATATCACACTGTACAAAAAATATCAGTACATTAGAGATACTATGTAAGATATAATTTTTATGGGTTTCAAAATTTTATGAAAATTATTTTCATTACATATTTTAGTGATTGCTTATGATTTATTTTTTTAATCTTACATATATCATTTTGAAAAGTATTACTTAATTATAAATTTAATTGAAATATGTTCTAAATGATGTTAAAGTTACAAATATTTACAAATAAATATTTATATACACTATAAAATAACCTTTTTTTTTAAATACTAAAAGTATTAATGAAGGAAGTGTTGGAAATTACTGGGAAAATATCAATACAGCACGAATCATTTTTGTTTTTAACAAATTAATCACTTTACAAATCACACAGTTGAATTATTCATCAAAATGTACAAGTTAATAGAAATACATTTAGTGTAATATATATAGTACACTTGGAGCACTAGAACGAAGTTTAAAGAATGATGATAAAAAATAATAACATTTTAATAATTGTATTTAATTATGTACAACTACAATTTATCAACATTATATTCACAAAAAGCATATTGAAAGAAATAATTTCAACATAAATTAATAAAAATATATGATCAGTTATAACAATTTTCTATGGCTCATAGAGGTTTTCGGTTATCAAAATTACACAAGTATCTTATTATTGAGTCAAAACAGGCCAACATTTTTCTTCAAACAATCTTGCTTCCACTTCGGAATAGCAGAATACTCTGAGTATTTCATAGAAAAAACATCAAAAAATTCTTCTGATGAAAGGTAAAGCTAAAAATAGAAAATACACAAGTTGATAACTAAAACAAATAAATTGAAGAGAAGAATGGTTGGGATGATCCATCAAAAAATTAATGAAGGAAAGTGACAAAATTGAAGGAAATAAAAGAAAAGTGAAAAAAATAATGAAGTAAAGTTTTGACTGATCACCCCAACCATTATTCTCTTCAATTACTCAGTTCAGTCAACCATCAATATACAATTATAAAACAAATAAACTTTATTAATATGTCAAGGAATCTTCATTCCACCTACCTCTTTGTGTTGGACATCTATTCCAGAAGGAAGTTTATCTGGATCCCTTTCTAAAAGAACATTCAAAGGATGTTTCTCACATTCATAAAAATTAGGAACTGTATCCGCTACAATCAGATCTACTTGTAGCAAAGGTTTCTGTCTATCGATTTCCTCCCGAAGTTCTTCAAATTTTTGTTCTTTCTAAATTTACAAAACAAGTAATAATTAATAATCTGAATTTGTAGGGACAAAAGGAAAAACTTGCAATAAAAAATGCTAGAAATCAACAAACAATTTTTTAGATTAAATAAAAAATAAATCTTAATATTATATAATTATATATCTTAATTAATATTACCATCCACATCTGAGGGTCCCATTCAGTGAAAAATCCAGTAAATGTGGGGGGTTCATATCCTTGTTTTACATGCATTATTGGAATATTAGGTTCTCTTCTTGAAGGGTCTGAAAATAATGATAGAAAAAGAATGACATACTTAATGAAAGATTTCAAACTTTAATAAATTTAATTTAAATCTTCTTAGATTAAAATAAAAACTTTGATTTTATTACACTTATTCATCAATTTAAATTTTATATAAATTTTAATATGATGGAAAAACAAATCAAATGTAAATAATTAATTAGGTGAGATTAATACTTATTTAGAAGAACTAAACAAAAATAGAATGATATTGAATCTGAAATGAAAAAGGCTAAAATCATTTTAATTGGCTAATTTTTCTTTTCCATAATTAGGGAGTAAATTGAAATATTTTAATGTAAAAAAGTTTAAATCTCAATCTATTTTAAACTTAACATTAGTTTTTTTGAAAGGGAAAAATTAATAAAAATAATAATATTTAAAAAAATAATTTAGATTGAAGTTATATAAATAATACAGCTTGCATCACCTAACAAGAACGTTTTTTTTTTTCTATGTCTTGAGCTCTTTTGGCCATGTGACGTCTAGCAGCCCAATAAATTTCACCTTCTGTCCTGGCTTTATTTCTAATGTCCTGTAGACCGGGATAAGTCAGTAGATGCAGAGCTGTCATGTATCCTTGTCAACAGAGTGGACATGTTGCTGATTCGACAACTCCAATAGGGTATAGATGGCTTTGGAGATAGTCATGTCCGGTCTTCATCCTAAACTGTTCAACGGCCTGGCCTTACTTCTATGGATATCCATTGGCACTCTTCCATTCTCTTCTAGTAAAGAAGTCCATTGTTTCTCTTTTAACTCCAACTGCCGTTTCTGTTCCAATTCTTCAGTGATTACTGTTTTGATTAGCTTCTTTGCTGTCAAGAAAGGTATTGGCATATCTGGCTGATCTTTTCTGCCACCTTCTTTTGCTAATCGGTCAGCATTTTCATTACCTGTCAACCCACAGTCTTCTGTACAAGAATGATAAATTTGAGAGGTCTCCCACTGTGAAGATATGACACTTGAAATATAGTTCTCCTTGAGAAAAAAATGGAGTAAGTTGTTTCGCACGCCCTAAACCATGAAACAGACTTGCCCTCTGAGAGGAAGAAGCTAAGATGATTTTTGCTACCAGACAGGTACATAGAGACGGCTCTTCATCAATCAAGGATACAGACTGATTTATTTATCTAATAAAATTATAACGAGCCCGATTAAGGAACACTCTGGAAATAACTAGCTGATGTAAGTAATGAAAGTACATACTAACTGTCCTATTTTAGGTACAAATGATCCTTTATAATGAATTTACAAGATTATTTTCGATATTAGTCCATATCAAAATATGTTGGCTGCAACAACAACAATAAAAAAAAAAAAGATGTGAAATCTGCTCTGGATTGCATCACTGAGAATCAAATATTTTCATTGAAGGCAGTCCTCAATGAATTGATGAAGTTATATGTGGTGATGAAGTGAATTTGGTTAATGAAATCCAAAGTTGGAGGCACTAATAAGACAGGTAGGCTCAGAATAGAATGTGATAACAAAATCCTAGAAGGGACTGAAGAAAGAGAGTTGGAATGGATAAAGGAAAATGAGATGGATGGCCTAACAGTGAGAAAACATTGGTTTCCACATTGCAAGAGCTAATGAAAAATATTGCATAGATGAATCATATATAATACAGAAAGGACAAATATCCTAGAATAAATAAAAACTTTAATAAAAATACCAGTTTTCAAAAATTCCAGTGCTATTTCAAAGGCTTTATTTTTTTCTTCCCTATTAGCATATTTTCCAGTCCATATCATTAAAGTATGGAAAGCATCCAGAATAAATATATCTTCTTGTGCTAGATCACTTTGAGCAAAATCCATAATTTCTTCAACTGTAAATATTAACAAGAAGTTTTTAATTATAAAAAAAAAAAAAAATACAGAAATAAAAATAATAATTAAGTCCGGCCAATTTATCAGTTTGGACCAGATGTATATCCTTAAGGTATCCAGTGCAACTCCTTTATAAACAATCATAGGTGCTCGGTATCTGAAGTACCAAAAGAGACCCAGACACAACTGAGTCCAGTTACTCTTTCCTATAGTAAACTAATAAATTATGAATAAATAAAATATACACTACCATAATTTATGTTAAAATGAGTTCATAATTTTATTTATTTATAATTGATTAGTTCACAATAGATAAGAGAACCAGGTAATGTATTTAATTGAAGTAGGTTAAATAAATTTTCAAAATTTGTTTAGTGGAAGCTTTCGACGTCTTGATAATAAACATTATGTGATAATATTATAATATATTATTATAATAAATATTATTTATTTTTAAAAAAAACTGTACATCTATAACCTATGAATGGTCTTGAATTCAGTACTTTGTAAGAACCTTCTGTTTCTAGGTCAATGGTTGGGCAAGGGTTTGATTTGACCGAGATCACGCTCAACCCGCAGGTTTTCCTCCTTAACTAATTATTAAACTAAGGTTACCCACTTTATAGAGACTGCATGTGCCCTAGGAGGATATCCTAATCCCAGGGTCAATTAATGGCTAACCAGAGTAAATAATTTATCGGTCATCAGCTGGACTCGAACCAGGGAATCTACCCCCACTCTCAGTCATATATTTATATAAAATATAAATGGCCTTATCCATCAATAAAAATAAATAAAACTACAAACTTTCATTCATTCATTCATGTATGGCACAACATCCCGTCACCGAGACTGGGCCTCCTCCAAGAGCCTCCGCCAGTTGGCTCTATCTTCTGCTGCAGCTCTCCAATTCCGCACACCAAGCAGGGTTCTCGCATCATAGGCCACGTTGTCCAACCATCTCGTCCTCGGCCTTCCTACCCGTCTTACGAGGTGCAGCTCCTCCATCATTATTTTTTTTGGTATTTCAAGGGTGCTCATTCTGGCCACATGCCCTGCCCACCTTAGTCTGGCCAGTTTAATATACGTGACTACGTCGATGTCTGCATAGAGAGAACTGAGCTCCCTATTTTTTCTTTTCCTCCAGACATCACCCTCCTTTACTGGACCATAAATCCTTCTGAGGACTCCTCGCTCAAAGACACTCAGCTTCATTTCATCCCTTTTGGTCATCGTCCAAGCCTCTGAGCCATATGTCAAAACAGGCCGAACAAGGGTCTTGTATATGATCAGCTTGGTCTTCTTTGAGAGGTACCTACTTCTTAAGTGTCGGCCAAGTCCAAAGACACATCTATTGGCAGCCGTGATCCTTCTTTGTATTTCTTGAGCCATGTCATTCTTGCTATTGATTTCAGACCCAAGGTATATGAAACTTTTCACTATCTCAAACTTAAAAGAACCTACCTCAAATGGAGAGTTCAGATCAACCTCACCGCCAACTCTCATATACTTAGTTTTCCTCTCGTTGACTTCTAGACCAAGTGGTCTTGCAGCTGCTTCAAGGCTTATAAACGCTTCTCTGAGAGCCCGTTCAGACCTACCTACTATGTCAATATCATCAGCAAAACCAAGAAGCTGTGTCAGGCGATTGAAGATTATATCTTTGGTCTGAATACCGGAGTCTCTTACAGCTTTCTCCTCTGCCAAATTGAACAATAGACAGGCGAGGGCATCCCCTTGCCTAACCCCACTGCTCACTTTAAACTCTTCGGAGTCGTCAGAACCGACGCGTATTCTGCATCTCGAGCTGTCCATGGTCATCTTGATTAGGCGTACGAGCTTCTGAGGGATGCTTAGCTCCTCCAAGGCACAGTATAGTTGCGTTCTATCAACGCTGTCGTATGCTGCTTTAAAGTCCAGGAATAAATGGTGGGTGACTACCTTACGCTCCATAGTCTTTTCTAGGATCATCCTCAGAGAGAACAGTTGATCAGTCGTTGAGCGTCCTCTTCGAAATCCAGCCTGATATTTCCCCAGTTCCTTTTCAGAATACGGGAGGATCCTCTCAAAAAGAATGTTAGAGAGCAGCTTATAAGCACACGAAAGGAGTGAGATTCCTCGATAGTTAGCGCATTCTGTTTGATCTCCTTTCTTATGTATTGGGCAGATAATGGCTGTTGCCCATTCCGTAGGCATAGCTTCCTTCTCCCAGATGGTCAGCATTAAATCATGCAGAGCTTTCTTGAGTTCTTCACCTCCACATTTCAACAGCTCTGACTGGATTCCGTCCGGGCCTGGCGCCTTTCCATTTTTCAATTTCCTTAGGGCGTTTTCCATTTCCTCCTCATCCGGGGGTTCAATAGAATTCAGGGAGTCTTCCTTCATAACACCTACTTCTCCAGGCACCGTTCCTCTGTTTAATGCGCCTTTGAAATGTTGTACCCATCTCCTTAGTACGTCATCTTTGTGGCTTAAAAGAGTTCCATTTGTGTCTTTGCATGCCGTCACTCTGGGCCTAAAAGCTGCCCTACCCTCGTTTATTCTCTGAAAGAACAGGCGACTTTCATTTTGGCCTCGCAATGCCTCTGTGTCCTCCATGTTCTTATTTTCCCAAGCTCTTCTCTTTCCGCGGAATAATCTCTTCTCTTCGCGTCTTTTTCTTCTATATGTTTCTTGGGAGAGCCTTGTGGGACGCTGAACCTTCTTTCTGTAGGCTTCATTTTTCACTTTTACTGCTTGAAGGCACTCAGCATCAAACCATGGGGGCCTTCTAGATTTAGTCTCGTAACCAAGAGCTTCTTCTGCTGCCTGTTTCATTGCGTTGCTGCATCTCTTCCACTGTTCATCGACCATAGAGCTGTCATTAATTACTTCTTCGTTAAGTTTCGTCTCCACAGCTTGTTGATACGAATATTGGTGGTCTGAGTCCTTAAGTTTAACCACATCAATCTTCTTCTTTGGTCGTTGGTAGTGGTTTTTAATCAGCGAAATTCGTGATCTGACCTCGGCAATGCTCAAATAGTGATCCGTGTCCATATTTGCACCTCTATAAGATCTTGCATTTATCATGTTGGACTTGTGACGGGCACTAATGAGTACATGGTCTATCTGTGATGCTGTTTGCCCATTTGGAGAGATCCATGTTGCTTTGTGGATATTCCTTCGAGGAAAGAGAGTTGTTCCAACAACCAGTCCGTGCAATGTAGCAAAGTTCACCATCCGTAGCCCATTATCATTACTGGTCTCATGCAAGCTGTGGGTTCCTATGGTCGGCATGAGTGCCACCTCCTTACCAACTTGTGCGTTAAAGTCACCAAGAATGATTTTAACATCATTTTTGGGGCAGCTTTCTGTCACGCGTCCAAGTTCTTCATAAAATGCTTCCTTATCCTCCTCAGGTGACACCTCTGTTGGGGCATGGCAGTTGATTAGAGAGAAATTAAAAAATTTTCCTCTAAGCCGAATGTAGCATAACCTTTGGTTAATGGGAGTAAATCGCATCACCAACTGTCGAGCTCTGCCTCTCACAACAAATCCGGTACCGAAGATGTGATGCTTTTCATGGCAGCTATAGTAGAGTGTATGGTACTTCTTCTCCATAATTCCCTGTCCTATCCATCGGACCTCTTGGATAGCTGCTATGTCGATTCTGTATGTGTCCACTTCTGCAAGGAGCGCACGAAGTGCTCCTAGTCTATGTAATGATAAAACGTTCCAAAATCCAATTCTTAGGTCATTTAGGCGTTTCCTGGGTCTGTTACCGTAATTCAGTCCGGCTTCTTCTCTTTGAGGTTTCGTAATAAGGTACTTTAGGGGGGGTGGGTTATCAGCCCACTGCCCCCGAGTCAGGTAGAGGGGCTGCCTCCTCCGAGCATCCTGACTAGCTCCCCCATCCGGGGCGGCTACCTAGGGAAGGTGACCCTAGGGTGTGTACTGTAGGTGACCTTTGTCTGTAGTGTTTAGGTGTTGTAGTGTGCTGTCTAAAGTGTACTTGGTGTGTGAGTGTTCGTGTAAGTGTTCCCCCAACCTGGAGGGCCAGTGGCTGGTTGCGGTACAATGACCGGGCGATGGGACCGCCACCTCCCTACGCCAAAAACTACAAACTTTGGACAGAAATATTAGTCATTCAACATCTAACTTAAATTTAAACTTGTTTTAAAAAAGTCATACTTCAGTTACTACTATTATATTATACAATGTCAATAAAAGTCATGAATAAAACACAATATGAATAAATAAGTTATTATAACAACAAACAAAATGTATGAACCGAAGTATCAGTATAGCAAGGTTTAAGGTAAAAAAAATGTCTGACATTGCGCATTAAATTATTTTTAATTATCTATACATTAACAAAGCAGTCTAACTACATATTTTAAAATCGACTTTAAACATCCATTAATAAAAGAAAACAATTTCATAGTAGTCAATAGCACAAAATAGATTCATATAAACAAAAAATATTTTCAAGAAATTCGGATCAACTTTCGGTAAAACTTTTTTATAATAACTAAGTAATAGTTTAATTAATTAACTTAACTTAAGGAAAGAATATATCATCAGTTTATGGTGGAAACCCATTAAGTAACATTTTAGAAAATTGAATCAGTAAGTAATTTGATGAATTTCTCTTCTGTGAGATAAGGAACATCTTTAAATTATTATAAAACTGAATTCAAATTATTCTCTAACTGTAAGGCCAATGTTCATCAATGGGTACCTCTATCAACTCAGCTATATACTGGATATTCAATTTGTGAGAATGCAAAGAGGTTTGGTCATATTAAAAGTATGCAAAGAGAAAGATTTGCCAAAAATTTGACTTCCTAGGGGAAGGTCCAGAAATATGTGGGAAGGAGCAGTTCAGGAGGCATTCAACAGGAGACGAATGGATTGGAACAGGTGCAACCAGCTGGTACAGAATCGGGACTCTTGGAACAGGCTATACAAGCAGGAATCCTTCACACTGCTCCACCGTAGAAGAGGGCACATTAAGAAAAAGAAGAAGTGAATGGAAAGAAGGAAAATTAATAATATATCACACGACAACTTTATTATTAACAATAATTCATTTTTTCCTAAAAATGCAATAATCATCTTTATTCACTTGATCATTTTAATATTTGACAAACAATTATTTTGGACTTATAATAGAGTTTTAAAGCAATAGACGAGTATGCAGCAAGACTGAGCCTAGTAGTGAATGTTGGAAAAACAAAATATATGTGCACCCTACCTACCCATGAAGATGATAGGTCATGTCTCGATAGGTTGCCATAGATTTTAAAGAGTGGAATCATTCATATACTTGGGATCCCAGATCAACCGTAATAACTGCATTGAAGAAAAAATCCAAAGACGGGTCCTCCCCGTAAACCGCACATATTTCTCCCTCCATAACCTCTTGAGAAGTAATGTGTTGTCGAAGGCCTCGAAAGTGAGAATTTATAAGACAATTATACGACCTGTTCTAACATATGGCTCAGAATGTTGGACTACAACTAAAGCCCTTGAGCATCTCCTTCTCCGCTTCGAAAGAAAAGTGCTTCACTGTATATATGATGGCGTATATGAGGGAGGCGCATGCAGAACAAGAACGAATGCTGAGTTAAGAGCGAGGTACAAAGAAATAGACATATCAACATTTGTAAAGGTATCAAGACTTCCCTGAGCTGGTCATGTCAAAGTATGGATCCGAACGAAGTTCCTTACAAGATCTTAGCTGGGCATATGTATGGTACCAGGCGGGTTGGACGCCCCAGATTTCATTGGGAAGACTGCGTGGCTGCAGACGCGAGATCTCTGCTCGGTGTTATGAACTGGAAGGCAGCAACACGGAACAGGGAGGACTGGCGGTCTAAGCTTGAGTAGGCTATGACTCAAATAATGGGTCGTAACATCGAATAAGCAATAGAATTTGTGTTATTTTGAGGTACTTAATGAATTTTTGCATTGATAAATATGATCAAAATCCATAAACATTTATTTAAAAGTTTGACTTTGTGTGATTAGTCAAATTTTATAATAAACCTGTTGATATTTGTGAGGTTACCTAGAGTGGACCCCTTTGGGTTAAAATACAGAGCATGAAATATTCCAAAGGAATTTTACAAGCAAACCAATTTTGTAAGTCTTGTCAAAATCAATAAAATCCAATACATCTTGTCTCAACAACCACTATTGGAGTTTGGAAACCTAATTTTTTTCAATAACTTTTATTAAAGTTTTAGTAAGAATTCATTAGGATTTGTCCCTTATACATGAATTTGTCTTTTTTTTAATGTCTCATTTGTTAAAATCCATCACTGTCTGAGAACCAGAGAGATGGGTCTATCCCTAGTAATATCTAAAATAAAAGTCATATAAATTTTGTTTAACTCAATTCTCACAACTTTACAAGAGGTAAAAACAAACTGCTCAATTACTTTGTTAATGACCTCTTGAAAAGATAAACTTTACATTCATGGTTACCATTCAATTAGAAGTTAAACAATTTCTACAGTTAGCTACCCAAACATGTTTCATCAAAAATTGAGTTAGGGGGCGTTAGAATTTATTTGGTTTTGGTAATGACTTTGTATTTCAGTTTAGTTTATAAAGATAGTTGGTTTAGATGAAATATACATTATTTCTATTATTAGCACTGAACTTATGGAAGCCATTTTACTGTTATTATTTAAAATAGTCACTAACAAAGTAACACATATTACCTTTCAAGCCACCTTTCAATTTTGAGTAATAGAAAAGTCTCACAGCGGGAGCCTTAAGGGGTACAATAGCAGGTCTCAAACAATTACTATAGGTTTCATTTCCAGGTAAATATTTCCAGAAATCTTGTTTTTCTTGCCCTAAAAGAAATATAACATTTTAAACATAGATTTCAATCAAATCATCAAATTTGTGATACATAAAATATTGTTTTTTATCAATATAAATAAAATATAGACCTTCAAATAGAACAGAGAATTCTTTCACTAATGTGAGGGATAAACCTTTAGCCATTTCTCTTTCATCTCCTGTTGAACTTTTGCCACACCATAAGTAACTTTCACTTTCTGTCTTAAGCAGGTATACATGGTTTGAATTAAGAGACATTCTTTCAAGAGGCTTCTATTGATCATGAAATTAAGAAAATTTTGAGAAATTAAAATTAAAATGTGAAAAATTAACAGTGTTAAACAGTTACATACCTGCTGCCCAAATGTGTTGAATATTTGATTGCCTCTTATCTGAAGTAAATAAGTTTTTGGCATGTGTTCTTTGTGCTCTCCATCCATTATTACTAATTTTCCTCTGAAGGCAACCAAAAAGTGAGGAGGTTGGTTGCACTGTAATATTCGAGCCTTTACATTTGCTTTTGCTACAAGGTCTTCTTGAGATAATGTTAAGTGAGTTTGGGCATTTTCTTTTGATGTAGATCCCTTATTTAAATAAAAACAATAAATTACTATCATTCATATGAATTTACATTATTATTTAAAAATATGAGTTTGGTTAAATGAAAAACAATTTTGACTTATAGTTAATAGTTACTGTAAGTAGTAATGATAGGATCAGAGGAAATCAAGTAACTGAACAAATTATTGAAACTGATTATATTCTTAACTATTACCTATTACTCAACTCAACACAAATCTAAGGCAAATGGGTAATAAAGGATATATCGGAAATATTGCCATCAATATCTGAACAATATCCGGGAGGTAGTTCTAGAAATACAACCAAACTTATTATAACTAGATTGGGAAGGTCAAGATTCATTCATTGGGTTGAAGATGAAATGAATTTCAACCCATTCAGGCCGAATTTGAAATGGCACTGCTAGACTTGAGAATACCAGAGAACGCAACGCTTTATCAAACCCGTTACAATAACAAACTGGATTGCAAGCTTGGGGAGGTTTATAAAATCCGAGGATCATTGTTGGCAGGACTTAAATCATCCCCTCGATTTTCACGGGCCATTTCTCGAAATATTTAGATCTTTTGATTAACTTTTAGTATTTCATAACTTTTGACATTCAAAGCAATTATTATATAGAATTTAATAAATTGTGATCATTACTAACAAATTAACAAATGATCAATTTACAATGAACAACGGCAAAATCAATACATTATATCTATGCGTTATTTAATAAATTATAGCAGATTCTTGGTTCAGTGAGTTCTAATATATAAGACTCTGGACTAATGTAGACATCAAAGAAAAACAATTAGATTTTTCATCCAATATCACAACAAAATTTTTCAGTGTTACCGCAATGAAAAATTTATGATTATTGAATCAAGTAGCACAAAAATAGTTTGCTGTGAAACATAATGATATTATTACGAGAAATAGGTGAAATGTAGAAGTAGGAAAAAAAGAAGTATAGAATTCATAAGCCTAAATTACATCAATAGTACAAAGATGATCATTATTACCAGCCAATAATATAATACTTCTTTGTTGGAGCCATTGTATGGATATGTGTATAACAAATAATATATTTCTGAAGAAAACAGGATACTATTTTTTTCTACTTCAACAAGATTTGTTTTGGAAACCCTCCAAACTTTTAAATTTCCAGAGCCATTATCTAATATTTGTTCTTTAGCAGCCAATGAAGTATTACTTTCGAGGGAACTGAGATTCTGAACAGCTATTGGTTGACTTTTTGGTGATGCAGCTGAAAAAAAAAGAAAAGAAAGAAATAATGTTATTACAAATAATTATTAAAATAAACACATTGAAATCCTCTGAAAGGGAAAAAAGTCTACCGAATTAAGTATCAATATGATAATTAGCATTAAAAGAATTGTGAAGGTCATACATAATTCACCACCATCATTTTTGATTCCAAAAAAAGGAATCCTATGTCTTGATTAAAATTGGCAACAAACAAGTTTACAACCAAGCAGGAATGTGTGTAAAATATCTTTTCAATAAACGTTTTATCATTATTTTTATTACTTTCTATGTCTGCCAATATTCAACAATGATGCAGTGGTAAAATAATATAAAATTGTATACATGAATAAATCTGCAGATACACAATCATGTTAAGATTCAAGTTTTGATTTAGTACAGCCCAGAGTTACAAAATATATAAAATACAGATTCGACAAACAGTATTTAAAAAATAAAATAGAGAAATAAATGAAAATAAAATTAGTCAGTGGTTTGTTAATGATTTATTTCCAATGTAACTGAAATTTGATAAATTCAGGGAATACAAAATTTTATTTAGAAGTATAATTTTTTTTTTTGATGAGGGTCAAGGAGGAGAGGTAGTACCATTAGCTAAGAAAGACCTAGAGACTGGTCCTCATTCAAAATCAGGGGAATAGCTGAGAGGCCTTAGAAACTGTAAGTGGAGACCTCAAAGTGAAGAACCGCATCCTGCCTGAGGTGATCCTGCTTTCGACTGAACACAGTGGATCTAGACCGGGAGGTCAATAAATATTTGTGGTAGCAGGTAGCAGTGCTAGCAGTACTGGCATGGACCCGAATATCAACTGAATCAAATCAACTGCGAGGGAACAAACCTAACAAATGACGTAGAAGTCGGAGATGTTGGCCGAAAGGTGCACATAGACCCCTGACATCTTTTGCGATGGTCAAGGAAAAATGGACACCATGTATTACTTACCAAAATTGGAAGAACAAAGAAGTATAAATTTTAAGACATTACAAAACTATAATTGATATTTGAAGCTTACTATTTCCAAAATCAGTATTTAAAACATTTTGGGGGCAGGGTGGCCAAGCAGGCTAACACATGTGCACAACATCATGCATTGCCAAGCATCCTGATAACCGAAGTTAGGCCTGGAAAAATAATTACAAGTTCAAATTCCGGTACCCGGTGGAACTTTAAGTATTTAAAACTTGAATAAATAGATAAACATTGTAAACATTCATTAAAGATTAATAACCAGCATATTTATTTATTATGACAAATTATTCAAGTAAAGCTAATACCTTTGGGGCTTTGAACTGGTTCTCTAACTTCCCAACTTGGAAACAGTACTCTAAATTCAGCAGGTTCACCGCCATCTACAACCCTGCTCACACGGCAACTCACTGGATAATTCTTTTTTTTTAGGAAACCATTAGCGTTCCTCATTGCTTCGACTCTCTCTTTTGATGAAGCATTTCTTCCTATCCAAACCCAGATGTGGTAAGGACCATTGTCAATGATATAAGAGTCCTAAAAAATAAGAAAATTAAAAATAAAGCTACTACAGGAAAGTGATAAATAAAAACATCAGATCTTGAAGATTTTACAGCAGTACTGCATTTAAAAATAAAAAAAACAGAACCATTATATTTTCCTATTTTTATTAAAGTAGAATTGTGCGATTTGTAAGAAATTATTGCCATGTCTATTTAATTTATTTGTATAATTATTATTATTATTTTCTAAAGTATAACAATTTTGTACTTTTAGTTATTTTGAGTAATTATCATAATGTTTGCTTCTTTTTTTGTGTAGCAAAAAGTACTCAACTTGTTATATAAAAAGATCTTTTTTCTCAGTTGTAACAATTATAAAACAAAATTATAGGCAGTCCATCAAAACATACTCATCAATACTCACTGAAAGTCAAATCAGGAGCTGAAATTTTTAAAAACAAGTTACGTTAAATGAAAATAACTTGGACTTAGATTACAGATATATATTTTTTTAAATGGATTATTTGATTATTATATCTTTTTCGTTTGAGTAGCTAAGAATATTCGTTTCAATTCCCATTTACTAGATTAATATTTTAGCAAAAATAATTGCTTCAACAGAATTAAATTTTTTTTTTTGTTAAATAAACATTTAGTAGAACCTTCACTTAAATATTGCAAGGGAAACAGCCCTAATTTGGAAATAACAGCAAACAAATTGAAAAGAAAGATTCCAGTTACACCAAAACGACTAAAAATAAAATTTTATTTCAAATCCTGAGCCAACTAAATCATATGAGAACAACTTTTACGACTTACTTTTGGATCTAAATCTGATTGACTCAATGATCCTGTTTTTACTTCAGTAACTTTATAAATTCCGTCATCATCAGAACATCGGTAAAATTTCAGCTGTGATCTGACCTCTTGTTCTACATGTTCATCGACACCATTAACTTCTGGCATCACCCTAAAAGTCATAAATCAAAGTATAACTTTTCTCTTAAAATATCTCATAAAGAAAAAGTAGCATTAAATCTTATAATAGTATCTTCTTTTTGTTAAAACATTTGTTACTAAATAAGGTTTAAAATATATAAAAAGTGTTTTGATTTACTTATAATAGAAGGATCATGTAAAATACCTTTTTGCAAGTGGCCTCAGGTCCAGATAAAATCCAAGCAGCGTCTGTTCTGGGCTAGGTAGTTCCATTTCCTTTCCGTCATCGACAAAAACAATAGACAGGGCATTTCTTTCATCACGAAACTGAGTCGCCACCTGTACAGACCTGAGGGAAGCTATATAAATATCGGTAGAAAAAATATTTTTTTCAATAATAATAAAGCCAAAAATATCAATAATAATTTTTAATATTGATGGTTCAGATTTCACTTAATTTGTAATATTATAAACATACATTAGATCCAAATATTCCTACTTTATTTTTACTTTACATTCAATTTTTCAGCCCTTAGGCCATTATCAGAGGAAGAAACGTTATTTTATAATAAAAATAAAATCATTTAGGCTAATTTGCCCTTGCTTATTGCCAATTACTAAATTAAGTGGAGGCTTTAGTAATAGACAATGTGTATCTGACAAGTAAATTAGCCTCAATGATTTTATTTTTATAATAAAATAAGGTTTATTCCTTCTAAAATGGTCTAAGGGTTGAAACATTGAAGGTAAAGTAAAAATAAAGTAGGGCTATTTGGATCTAATGAGTGTTTACATTTTTATTTATATTCTTGATTCTCATTTCTACTGTAATAATGACAAGTTTTTATGTTAAATTTATTTTCCAGTTATATCCATTCAACTCTTAAATGAAGATAAACAAGGTGAACAATGGAAAAAAAGATAATGATAAAAATACACAATAAATGGGTCTTTTTTCACACAAAAGATACTGCCATATCAACATGTTAATATATCATAGACAATAAAATAATAATTTTAGAAATAACTACCCAAATATAATAATTTACCTATATGGTCAAAAATAATTAAAAAGAATTTTGGCTATCATAATTCACTATATTTTATTTACTTGAGATCTTAAATTAAAAATGAGATTATTTTGCATGAAAGACCTTTGCTGCTTGTAGCCTTTCCATTGAATTTGAAGTTCTGCCAATCCACACAAAAACTACATCTTTTGTGTCGATGATGAAAGCATCTCCTGAATTGAAGTATTCCCAGGCTACAGCTGGCATCTGGGTCACTAGGGGTCTTCTTCTTCCTTTGACTCGGAATAGCCTTGGTTCAAAATTGTTATTCACAACTTTCAATCCAGAGTCGAATCCTCCTAGTAGTATTCTGAAAATTAATGGATTAATAGAATAATTATTTATTTGTGTTGATTTAGAGATTACATGAATATTTTATATACAGAGCATTAAAAATTAATTATCACATAGTTATATAAATACATTTGCGATGAGGACAAAGAATAAACAATTTATTTTTTTCCAGAATAAATATATATATTTTTTTTTTGCAAAAAGGATAATTTCAGAAACCACAATCCAAAATCATTTCGAAAACTAACGATATTATCATACCTAAAATGTTCTGTCCCTGAACACTCTATTATTTCTTTCTGAAGCCAATTTAAACGGTGGAGGTAGTGAAAAAAAAGTTGAGAGCCTCAAAAGGCGTAACTCTAATACTATTTAAATTCATATTTACTATAAATTACCAACTCTCAAAATTGATGCAAATTCTTGAAAATCAGGAAAAATGGCATATATGTTTACTTTTTTTTAAATATAAATATTTTTTTATTTAATACTTTTAAATCAAGTATAATATTTTCAAAAAAAAAAAAGAACTAATTTTTAGTTCAAGAATCTTCACTGGAAAATCAAAGTTAAAAAAAAATTATTGGAAATAGATTTCTATTACATAAAAAATAAAATAAACGAGAATAAAGTAAATTTTTGATCAATCTATTGGTATAATGGGAATATTTTAGGTTGGATAAAACACAGAATAAAATTATTAAAAAATAAAATAGACTTATTTTAAAACTTTTGATTTTCTAACGCTATAAATCAAACGCTATTGACTTGAGTTTACTCAAAACATGTGTAATATGGACTGGTTTCCTTTTTTTAAATGCCATCAAATTAATTTTGCTCCTAAAATGTTAACAGACTTTTTATTTAGAAACTGGTACTACTACTGGTGGAGGACTCAGTCCGGTAAGTGGGTCTATTGGGCCTTTTTGCCAATCCCAGACACAATGATACCGATGATATTCTATTACAGCTCCATCTGTTTCAAACCTTTTCATTTTTCTAATGAAGTAGAATAGGCATGGCCATTTTATGGTGGAAGGTTCTTTTATTTTGAAAACATGTAGCGCAACTGATCCTTTGAATGGTTTATTTTCTATCAAATGACATATAAAACAATATATTACAATAATCATCAAGGATTTCATGCTTAGTTATGTTATAAGAAATTTTACCTCGATTTACACACACAAACAAATTCAAATTGACAATGGAATGTGGTTTAAATACATATGTATTATTAAACGTAATCTATAATGCATTAAAATCAGTATATGACATACAAATATTAGCTATTGTTTTTGGTATAATGAATTACCTTATTCCATTCTTAAAGTATGCCTTAAATCTTGAAGATTCATTTCCCCTCACTTCCCTGTGCTGAACAGGTTTGCCTCCTAAATAGTTGTCCAGTTCCACACTTTTAAAGGCAGCTACGGCACTTTCGTCCTGACTAGTATTGTTACCCAACCAAAAGTGAATATGCATTTCAAGATTTCCCTTAATTTCCCTTGACTGTTGAACAAATTAAAATCAAATTAATTAATAAGAAGATAAAGTAAATTGGAAAAAAAAGTTAAAGTAAATGTAATGGTTAATATTGTTCTGAATCGATGCAACCTATACAATCGATACAAACCTAAACAGTAATGATATAAAGAAAACAATACAATTCAGTGTATCATATATCTGAAATAAACATTCAAACAATTTTTTTTCAAGTTCCCAGTTTACAACAAAATATTGGTAGAAAAATAAGAAATTATCAATAGCATTATCAGATCCTGGATTTTTATGGAGTAAAAATCTACAGAATATACCTTATAATAAGAATTAAGAATAGTAAAGTATGCAGTAAGGAAAAATATGAAGCAAAAAATATGCAAGCCAAAATACTAAAATATACTAATGTACTTACAAAAAGTACTGAAGTAAAAAAGAAATTGCAGGAAGGAATGAGAATTAGAGGAAAATGATTTCAATTTTTTTTTTTTTCATAAGCCAAAATTATTAAAATAATAATCACTAAATAATTTTATAATACCTTAATTCAATATATTTAATATAACTTAAATTATAAATATATTATAAATAGTTAAAACTTTCAAAGTTCAACTGTTATTAGTTGGCAGCCCGAGGGTGAGCTCATATGACACCAAGATGTAACTAACATTTTATTTTTTCCTTAAGCCTCCACATTATTAATATATACATAAATTAGAAGATTACGATAACAACTTTCAATATATATATATATTTGTGAATATTTTGTAAGTCATGGCAGAGAGAGGAAGCGGAATAGCTCAGTGAGGAGGACACTGACTTCTAAAACTAAAGATCCTGGGTTCAAATTCAGCTAGTGGGAGTAATTATTTATTCTACTAAATTAGCTGAGGATTGACTCTGCGGAATAAGAAACATAAGAGCACATTAATAACAGCAAACAGCAGGCTGATTATATTAAGATGAGTTTCATACAGGAGTAGGAAGTTGTACATAATGATGTAGCCATGCGTAACAACTCAGTTCTGCAACACCTGTATTACCTAAATCGCACAGAAGGGCTTAAATAAATAAATAAATATCATGTCACCCCACCAGGCTGTGGATCGACTTGCACCCAGCCTTTGGGTTTGTGAAACACGGGGAGATTTTGTGAAACAAAGAATAGAATGTAAGAGCAAAAGTTGGATCATAGAGTGAAGTGATGTACTTTTTGGACCGCCGTGAGATGCAAAGGCTTGTGCTCCTGTTGCAGTTTATTCCTACTGACTTTGAACTGAGTCTCGCAGGTGAAATACATGATGGAAGAGAATTAATATAAAAAAAAAAAAAAAAAAAAAAGAACTTTATTTATTCTTTTGAACAACCTTTTATTTGAACACAAGAACCTTTTATAAAACTGGTCACGATAATAATTTGTATCTTTCTCATTAGAAAGTGTTGTTCTTTTCTTAAAGCTGTTAAAAAAAAGCTTAAAAAGCTGTTGGGAACTTTTTCATGAGGATTTTCTGATATGATCGGAATCAGAATTTATTCTGACAGAGTTTTTTTTCTTATAGAACTCATTGCCAAGATGCAGGACCATTTATAGTAATTTGTCTCAGATTTTGACAAAGTTGGAAAAAATTAGTGTCAATGACTGTGGTTATCGACCATATAACTTAATTAAATTATTAAGTTTAGGTACTCCTTCGATACACTGTTTCGCTTTGATGCACTGTTTAGTAGTAATACATGAAAAAAAAAAAAAGATCAGATAAATCTGGCTTTTTTGGTTGTAAAATGCTTTCTCTTGGTGACCCGTGTTAATAATTTTGTTTTTTACATGTCTAAACTCATATACAGAGTGTCTCGTAAGTGAAGGGAAATATTTAAAGGAGTGATAGCCAAACTCCAGAACTACAAAAAAGTTTATATAAACAATGGTTTGATTTTCAGCAAGAAAGTAGGAAATTAAAGTTTTGTGATTTTTTAAGTAAGTCACGTTTTTTGTTGAATAGGAAGTTATAACTAAAAAACTATTTAATTTAAGTAATTACCGATTGGTTAACTGTTAACTAGACAAAATTTACTTCAAATAAAAATAGAGTTTGCTTTTGTTAAAACCATTTAAAGAGGACTTTTGAGTGGCTAAACCCAGCTAAGGAGTGGGGGGAGATGGGTAGGGGTTGGGGAAGGACCTGGTACAGAGGTGCTTGACTTGGAAAATCTTTTGTGAGGAAAGAAGCCGAAGCAACTATAAACTGTACAAAGGCGCAAGAAACAGAGTTAAGGTGGCAATGAGAGAAGCAACAAGAAAAGCATTGGAGGAGTTTGGACGATCTCTCAATAATGATCATATGGAAAATATTAACCTCTTCTGGAAGAAAATAAAAACACTCAGAGGCAGGAATACCAAGCAAATGAGAAACATAAAGAATGAAAAAGGAGAGGTGATATCAGAGGAGAAAGAAGTCTTGGAGACCTGGACTAGATACTACTCAAGACAGTTCGAGAGCAATCAGGAAGAAAGCGATCATCCTGATGGGAGAGGCGAGACGGAGGATGAAGAAAATGGCCCGATTGAAGAGGACGAGGTTGAAAATGCTATTGTGAAGATGGAGACAGGGAAAGCAGCAGTCCGGGACAATATAGACCCAGAATTTCTTAAATACGGAGGACCAGAGTTAGTAGAAGCCCTACAAAAGTTTTTCCAAAGGGTTTGGGACGATGAAAGAATTCCTTAGGGATGGAAATATAATGTAATAATTCCCGTCTACAAGAAAGAAAATCAAAGCGATTGTTCCAACTACAGACCTATTAGCCAGTCCCCCCAGCTTTACAAATTATACTCTTTTATTTTAGAAAACTGCTTAAGAGTAACGGTGAAGCCTATTCCTGGAACAACAAAGTGCTTTTAGCCCCAACAGGCAAACGCAAGATCAGATCTTCACCCTGAGAAACGTGATAGAGAAGTTCTGGGAATTTGGTGGGAACGTCTATCTGGCATTCTTAGACCTGAAGGCGGCATTCAATTCGGTATCTCGGAAAGAAATCTTGTTAGGCTGTTAGAGGAAAAAAAAAAAAGAAAAAAAATATAATCAATTTTAGTCCGTGGTATAGATCCCTTTTTAGCAAATTATTAACATTCGGCTGAAACTTCGTAGCTTCATCTCATCGTAATCTACAAATATTTTATTACGAAAATTCTCGTCACGAAATGTTTATTTGATTAGGGACTAAAAACTGGTACATACCCATTTGCTTTCCACTTGAACAGTAAGATAAGTTCCAAATAAAGTTGGCCTTCAAAAATATTGAGCCGTTTGGCGTGACCTACCCTCCCAATTTGTCAAAATGACGAGGTCATATATATGCAGGCCACCTTTTTTATCGATTTTGTGATCAAATTATCTTACGAACTAAATGGAAAGCAAATGGGTATTTTCAAGTTTTTAGTAACTAATTAAAAAGACAAACTTTGCCGACCTCCAGATTGAAAACGCTCCAATTCCAAGAGTTTTCGTAAATAAAATAGCAATTCACTAAGTTTCAGGCGGATGTTAATAATTTGAGAAAAGTGGTCTGTACCACGGAATATTAGATCCTATAATATATACGAGAATTTTCGTAAATAAAATATTTTTAGGTTACGATGAGATGAAGCTATTTACGAAGTTTCAGCCGGATGTTAATAATTTGATAAAAAGGGGCCTGTACCACGGATTATTTTTTAACATCTTTTTTCGGAAATTAATTCATGAATGAACGACTAAATTTTTAGTCGTATGAGGTTTTTAAAATTTCTTTTTTTTTTAATTAATCGTTTTTAAATACGCGACGAATGAATGAAAAAAATCATTAGTTTAATCGTCATTCGGATAATTTTCGCCCAACTAGTAGGAGACAATTTCCCATACCTCGTACTTACTTTTGTATTGGGATTTCCATGTTTGCCGTACTCGGAAGCAGCATAGATTATATACGAATCTCCATCATAAAATGTACCATATTGTTCCTTTGGTACTGGTACCAACTGCAAATTCTGAAAGAAAAAATAAAACTTAGTAAATAAAATTGAAAAAAAAATAAAATAAACAAAACTGTTAAAAATATTGAGTGGGGCGAAAATACTGTTACCTCAACTCTCCATATGAGAAATGCAGTTGAAGTCCTTGATATTCCTTTAAAAGCTGGATCAACAGCACCATTGCTTTCCATACTTTTCTTACTCTGTACCTAAAAATGATTAGTTACATAAAAAAAAGTAATAATTCAAAATTTTCTTAATTCATAAAGGAATGGAAAACTATTTTTCATTAATTTTTTTTACAAATATTGAAATATTGCTAACATAGCAATATTATTCAATAATAGAGTATTCATTTTAATAATTATTAGTAAGGCCTGGATTTATAAATAACAAACATTGAAATATGCCTAATTCCTCAAAAATTACAATAATATGCTATACAAAGTTTGATAATACGCAAAAAAATAGTGAAAAAAGGCAATAAAGATAAAATAGTTAGCCATAAACGCATTAAAAAAAAATATTCACAATAAATGAACGATTTCACTATTTACATTTTTCATATTTTCGATTTTTATATAATTTTAACTTCTAGTAGTGACTTTTATAATGGGACCCCACAAAAAGGGTGGGTTTTATTTGTTACATATTTTTTTCTTAAGTAAATAATCATTTTACTGCAGTAACATAACATATATTTTTTCAGATGAGAACATTATTGTTTTAACAAAAAAAATCCCTGTTTTAAATTTTACTTTTGTTTTTTTATTAACTTTTATACGGAGCTTCAAACTTTCATTAATCTGTCTCAGGCTCCAATGGTTGAAGTCCGAAACTGGAGAGCTACAGCAAACGACAGAACAAACTGGCGGACACTTTTGGAGGAGGACCATTCTCGGTGAAGGAATGTCGCGCCACTTATGAATGAATGATATAATAGTTTGGTTATCTTATTCTCGCAAAGTTATATTTGGTTAAATAAATTTCATAAACCATTACACCATTGTAGATCACTCCAAGACAATTCTGCTGCTACAATCGTGGTGGAGGAGGTGTTAATATACTTGTGTTACAGAGAAATATTTTAATATAACAATTTGGTTTAAACTATTTTATTTAATAAAACCTTGGAGAGGGGGGAGTTATTTAGTCCAACATCACCTTACCAAAATTAATAACTTAATTATTACGTATCCTTGGTAATACAGAACTTAAAAAATATATATATAATCTTTTTTTATTTTTATGTATAGTTCAGATAGAAAATATGAAAAAATATTTCTGTACGTAAATTTTAGGTATAGTTGGTAGTAAGAAAAAACTGGTAAGTATTTTCATATAGCTGTCAAACACTCATCGCAGAAAATGGCAAAACATTTTTACTGACGCAAAAAAAGGAGTAGATGAAAATAGATGATTCGGGAGAAGCTGGTGAAGACCCAGATTATAACCTTGATGAGGAAAGCTTCAAGTTATTCTCCAATAGGTAAAACTTCACGATATAAAGCATCAGCTGTGGGTGGTGTAGGAGTGGTTCCATGGACCGGAGGGAAAATCGACAATGAGCGCTCTACTTTTTCTTACAGACGTGCGTAACTAAAAAATCTCATCTCCAGTTCGAGGTCACCTTGCGCATTCAATATCCAGCAGAAGCCATCTTCTCCTCTGTTATCATTTATTCTTTGTCTCCCTCATGGTCTTTGTACGTACAGAAGATTCGAGAGATCTGTATCCAATGGATCCGGTACTACGTTTCAAAAAATTAATCTCAGAAGTAAACTAAATTTTTGTTAAACAAAAAAAAAAAAAAAAAGAAAAGGAAGAAAAAATATATGACAGCAAGATACAGCGGCCAAACTATTAGGAAAACAGAAGTTTGATAACTTCGACCCAAAACTAGGTACTCTTGACAACGGAGAATGGTTCAAATAGTAACGATAATTTTGTCATTCTGTTGTAATCAGGAGTTGACACTTTTAAAGAACTTTCTTAAAAAGTTTCATCTGTGAATGTTTTTTTAGGAATTTTTTTTTTTAAATATAAGCACTAATGAATTTTTTGTAATTAAGTTCTAGATTTATAGTCAAAGATGAACTTTTATTTATTCAAGCTCTTCAAAAAAAGTTACGTTAAATGAGAAATAACAGTAACTGGGTTTAGATTATAGTTTATCATCTATGAATTGCCTGATTGGAACTTGGAAAAATTTGGATTCAAAAGTTTGAGGAATTTCCTAAAATAAAAAAAAAATCGTTAAAATCGGACACTTAGGAGCAAAGATATGACCCCTAGATGTTTTTTATAAGTTATACTGCAACAATTATATCCTTTGTTTTGGTTTTTCAATGTGTTTCTGAACTAATGCTAATTTTTATTTCTAGCACATTACTAATGATTAAAAAAAAAATATTTAGTCCAATAATTGGAATCACCTTTTATTTCTTTTTCGTTGTCACTAGGAAGGTAATGTTACTTTAGATGTATAATTATTTGGAAACAATAAACGTTAGTGGAACAATTTGCAGCGTTTTTATATTAATTTCACGTATCAACAAAAATTAAGATGAAGTTTGAAAATGCTACGTTGTAAAATAAAATTTATCATTTTTCTCTTTAACAACAGGTTTTTGATAAACATTGTGCTAACCCACACAATATCACGCGCCCGAAAACGTGTTATTTAAGAATTTATAAAAAATATTATTGTTCTGATATACGTTGACTGCTCTGCAAACTTCTTAACTTGATAAGTTGAGTTTTATTAGTTCATACTCGCTATAATTATCGTCAAATTAACTGAATACTATATTACCCACTAACTAAATAAATTAAAAAAAATATTCCATAGTATTATTATTATTATTATTTTGTCGTTGGTATTACAGAGCTTATATATCTGTGACGCCGTTAACAGGCTTCTCCATCTCTGTCTACCTTAGACTATTTCTTTCCAGTTGTCTGCATGCTGTTCTATAGCACTTTCGTTGATTCGTCTATCTAATTTTTAGCCTTGTATTATGTCTCTTGCCTACTATTGATGCATTCATTGTTGTGTAGAGGCTTCCTAATGGAATGCTCCGAGCTACATGACCTGTACCTCTTAACTTCCTCGCCTCATATCATGATATATTGATTGGCCAGTTTCACTTATTTGTACTTCAACTTACAGTACTACTTTGTCTCAAATCGCTCCGGTTATCTTGCCGAGTCAAGAAAATCGAACCCGTCTCTTCTCTGAGTTTTAGAAAGTTTTTCATTGCTTCCAAATACAGAGCTATATGATCTGCATCTCTTATGATTAATTCCAACTTGTACTCTTATTCTCTTATTCTTAGGTTAAATAGTATCGCCAAGAATCAATCTCGTTGCCACAAACCAGTTCGCACTTTGAAGGTTTCAGAAACTTCTCCTTGTACAACATCTTGGCACTTAGGATTATTCGTAAACGCCTAAGTCAATCTTATCAATTTCACAGCTCAGTTATGATCTTCCAAATTCGGAATTCTACGGAATCATATTCGTGTTTTAATAACTGCAATACAATTCAAAGCCAATCAGATAACTATAATTAGTCACACTAACTTATAACTTCATGGTCATAAAATCAATTATTATTAATTTTACTTTCAGCTGAATATGAAATAAATAGTAAGGAAATGTATTGCAATCGTGAATACATTAGAACCGAGTTATCACCGGAAATCAACGTGATAAATCCATTTAACTAATAGTGTGAATAGTGGCTCAAAAATGAATATCTCAAGAAACTAAAATTACATATTTAAGATTTTTATATGCTTGGGACGAATGGCAATTTTTTCATTAAAATTGACCAACCGCATATGAAACTTTTTATTATCAATTTTAGACATTTTTACAATTTTCTTAAAAATGACTCCAACGACTTTGATTAAATTAATTAAATATGTGTAACATTAAGTTGTATTTCATTGAAATAGTCTAACATGGCTTTTTTTTTTTAAAACTTTTATTATGATATTTACAACTGTATTAGTATGAATACATCAAGTAAATGTGTACAGAGAAATATTATCACATGAAACACGCTTGTTGAGAAACTACCCACTGGTAGCACTCTAATAATTTGTCTACATGAGAAGATCACGAGGCCATCTTCTTTTCAGACGCCTCGGAGGGTTATCAGGAATCGAAGAGGAAGCAAGGTTAGAAACAAGAGGATTCGGATGGTTATGAAGTTTATTATGGAAGGATAAGTATCTGGATTTGGCCTAATCGGAAACATATGGAAAATTGAGGTCTTTATGGATTATTTTATTAGTGACAAAGTAAGGAGCATTGAGGATTTTACGAAGGATTTTGGATTGTAAGGATTGGATGCGAGAGGAATTCGATGGTTTAGTGGAGCCCCATAGCTCAACTCCGTAAGTCCAAATAGGTCTTATTATAGTCAAGTATATGAGTCTTTACATGGCTTAAATAATGAATTATTAAAATATCTTCTTCTAAAGTACCTTTGAATTTGTTTATTTGAATTAATTAACCACTTCACATTATAACCAAGAACCAAAAAAATGTTATATATAAACTATGTAAGACTTTTAAAATTAAATTAATGAGAAATAAGAGATAGTAATGTGGGACCGAAGAAATCCCAGCGCGCAAGCCACATTGGAAAAAATGTTGGGATAGGTTTCCAAATGTGACTCATCCCAACTACAATCCCAATGATTGTAGTTCTACATGGCTTAAATCTAATGTGCTCCATCGTCAGGTTCTAATTGCAGACATCCAATAATTAGTCTAAAAGCAAGATGTTGCTCTGGATGTTATATACCTTGATTTATTATAACTTGAATTAGAACCTGACGATGGAGCACATTAGATTAAAGCCATGTATTCACAAAATCATTGGGATTGTAGATCTGAAGATGGGAGTAAATATTCCGAAACGTTAACTTGTAAACATGCAATTTGAAAATACAGCAAATAAATTCAATTGTCGTTAATTGGAAGTCATCATTGTCAAATAACAAAGAATAACATACAACGTCCCAGAAAAAAGAAAAAGAAGAAATGGTTAGTGTTAAACAACAAATGAATAATACATTAAACGGCTAGTTAAAATATATAGAGATTAATTATTTTAAATAATATGCTAAATCGTCTGTAATTTTTACTTTCACTTCCCCTTGTCTAAAACTACCTATTTCTACTGGAAGTAGGATGGTAAG